TGGAGCAGCTTCTCCCTTTTTAGGACACAAGTGCCTTAGAAAATAAGAGCGCAGGAGGCAGGAAATGATATGGGAAAAGTAAGTAGCACGATTGTCTCTGTTATGGCTGAACCTGACCCTATTTCCATGTACTGATGTGTGCAGAACTGGCTAGGACTTTTCCTTCTCCCTTAGTTCACTTTAAGCAATGCAAATCTGTCCAGTTGAGGTGCTGATGGTGGTCTTTGAAGGAAGGTAACAGGGCAGTGTTCCCCACCCCCCAGCTCTCAAATAAACCTGTAACGTGGGGTGAGGTGGGATGGAGAGTCAAGTGTTATGGATGGCTCGGATGAGCCTCAAGAGAAGAGGCTATGACATCCCAGGGCATAAAAGATTACACATCAGAGCCGAGGCACCAACCCCAAAACATTAGGCACTACCTGTGTTATGCAGATTACTCTTTCTGCATATCCTTCTCTCTGCATATTGCAGAGGTGATTTCAGGTCTACTTAGCCCAGCTCACAGCATTCACATACTTCCCGCCATTCTCACAGTCACTCATCCTCAAGCCACGCCCTTCTTCATGAATTAATAAGACCGGGGTTTGGCCTTGGGTTGAGGCCTTTGTTCTGGCTAGTCATCATCATGGCTGGACTTAGGACCCCTTGGCTCCCCATAACTACAAATATGCCTTAGTGTCTTTATTCTCTCCCTGGGTTGCACTGGAAGTGGCAGATTGGAATTAACTTGCTAGAATTCCAATGACTTTTCCTTGGGATTACAAGTATAACTTCCTGGGCTGTAACTGCAATGAGGACTGGGAAGGTATCCCTATGCAAAACACATTTAAAAAGTAGAAAACAAGATTCAGGGAAGAAAAATGTGTCTGTACTAAACATACACAAAATTTTTACTTCTTGTTGTTCCCTAAACAATAAATACGATATAACAACTATGTATATAGCTTTTGCATTTTATAGGTATTATAAGTAATCTAGAGATAATTTGAAATCTTCAAGACTATATGTATAAGTTATATATAGTATGCTAGTCATTTGAGAAGCTTTGTATAATTTCCTTTGCAGGTTGGGGTTGGATTAGTTCTTCTCAGTGTATACTTTTATTAGAGTAGCACGTGTCCTTCATTGTTGTCATTATCATTATTATTTTGTGATATTTAGGATTGAAGTGAGAGACTCAGGCCAGCTAGATACGTACTCTACCGCTGAGCTCCACTCCCAGCACTTTTGTTTTATTTTGGCCAGACTGAGCTGGGCGTGATGGCACATGCCTTATAATCAGCACTCTGGGAGGCATAGGATAGAGGATCACAAGTTTGAGCCTCGATTGGCCAATTTCTTGAGACTACGGTCTCAAAATAAAAAGGGGTAGAGATGTAGCTCATTGCAAAGACCCTGGATTCAGTCTTTACCACCTCAAAAAACAAACAAAAGCCCTAAAACTAAATTGCCCAGACTGGCTTTAAACTCTCACTCCCCCAGCCTCAGCCTCTGTGATTATGATTACGGGCTTTCATACCATGCACAGGTAGAGTGACAGGCATTCTTATCAGATGACCTAACAGCTACCCTGCCCTGCCCTCTCTTTGCTTGATGGTGAAACAATTTTATTGCAGGTGCCAAAGCCCAGAAGGTGTCATGACTGTGCAAGCCCGACATGGTAATCTCATTGCCTGTTACCAGTTGTTTGCTTTCCAGCCTTTCTTAGACCTAAGTGTGACCAGGGAAGCCTAGTGCTCAGCTGGCAAGGCAGACGTATGCAATCATTTTCATTTCTGTGATCGCTCAACAATATTGCATATGTACCATGTTGTGTGCTGGGTGCTAGGCTTGCAGAAATGAGCAAAACAGACCTGATCTTTTTCTTCACCTTCGTGATTCATTTTTTTGTTTGTTTGTTTATGTCTAAGAACAACGCAAGGTACACATCAGAGGTTGAAAAAGTGAAACTCCAAATATACCCTTCAATGTTGGTCTTTATTTGTTCTCAGAGTGATTTACATCACATTCAGGTGTGCGGTGACCAAGTTAGGTCTAAAGTCAGTGGAGGGCATGCATTGATAGAATTCTCCTATTTCTTTTTGAAACACAATCTATTTTCTCTTTGTATATGTTGGTATGAGGAGAAGACTACTACATATTGTAATTGGTGGCATCTAAACTTGGTTGTGTAGCTACATAGTGTGTTGAAAATGTTCTCTTTTCCTGAATTCTAAAACAGACTTTGTTAACTCTTGAAAGGTGTATCCTGGTGTCAAAAGTATGTATTAAGGGCCCATAATCTTTAGCATGAGATATAACATCTCTGCTGAGGCCTGCATGACTCCAGAGGAAAATTCTTTCCCAGAATTGACAACAAAGCAGGTTGCTCATTAGCCATAACCCAATTCTGGCTGTTCTGTCCCTTTCATGAGAATGCTCTGTTCCCTCTGTTTAAGCCTTGCCTGGCTAGCCACTTGTCTACTGTATCCAACTGCCATTTCCCCCAGTTCCAGTGTGATCAGTAGATATCGGCGTTCTGGCTCATGGCCTTTTGTCCCCCAGGAACAACTGGACATCCCAGATCCCTGTTACTTCATATTCTGTCTCTTTGTCTTTTTTCTCTAGCTATGCTCCATAACATCTGGCAGACGGTTGGGGTCCACTGCAAGGGTCCCTAATAACTGGCGCTGTGGAAGGGGTCACTAATATTGAACCACTTTTAACATTTTGACTTAGAACATTTTGAGTGTCATCCCTGAACCTTCCTTCCTTACTGTAAAGAGGGATCATATTATCTAACCTATAGCATTTGTGTTATAAGGGTTACATGAGATCAGAGAGACTGACCTGACCCAGTCAGGCATCAAACATAGAAGTTTACTTTTTCTTCTTGGCTAGATTCAAAGTTCCTTGAGGCTTAAGATCTGATGGTTTCACTGGCCATTTGCCCAGTAACTAAAGTCTGGCACATGGTAAACTCTAAAATTCTTGATGAATTATTATCGTTATAAAAGTCAGGTCAAGATGGAGTTGAGATTCAGTGGTACAGTACTTGCCTAGCAAGCATGAGGCCCTGGGCTCAATCTCAGTACTCGAGCAGGTGTGTTGGAAGGGGGACTCCAGTTGATTTATCTACTTCAGTGCCTTCCTGGAAGATTGGAAAAGCTCTCTCTCTTTCACTGGGGACTGAACTCAGGGAGTGCTGAGCTACAACCCCAGTCCCCTCCCCATTTTTTCTTTTGAGATAAAGTCTTGCTAAATTGTCCGGGCTGGCTTTGAACTTGCAGCGAGTCCTTCTGCCTCCTAAACTGGTGGGATTTCAGGCACATGCTGCCATGCCTAGCTTCCATCTCTTTACTTGACCAAGTTAAATCCAAGCACAGATCATCTTCCCAGGGTGCTGTCCTCTACATGTTCTTAATTTGCAGTTATCTTGTTTGTTTTTTGTTTGTTTTACTAGGGATTGAACTTGAGGCTTTCACGCTGAGCTATATCCCTAGGCTTTTCTTTAATTTTTAATTTTGAAACAAGGTCTTGCTAAGTCACTAAGTTGCTTAGTGGACTGGAACTTGTACTCCTCCAGCCTCAGCCTTTTAGAGTGCTGACATTGCAGTGCATGCCACCATGCCTGGCTATACTTATCTTATTCTAACTGACTGACCCCACTTCTGCTCCTCCTTACCATTTAAACACAGAATCAAAATAGGAATTTACTGAATATACAGGATATGGTCTCTAGCGAAGCCTAATTATTTCCTATATAGAAGTCTTGTCTTTCAAAAATTCAATCCTGGGGCTGGGGATATAGCTCAGAGGTGTAGTGCCTGCCTGGCAAACGTGAGAGCCTGAGTTTAATTTTTGGTACCAAAAATAAAATAAAATAAAAATTCAACCTTATAAGTATTTCTTGCTTGCTAACCAAGAGCCAGGCACTGTGCTGAGTTCTATGAAGGAGGAAATCGCTTCCTCAAGGAGGGTGTCTTTCAGTGTATACAGATGTGTGAGCAAACTGACTTCACAAGGTGAGGCACAAGGTACGTAGGTAGCAGAGATGTGAGAAAGTGGTTAGCCTTCTCCATGAAGGCCAGGAAGTCCTTCCAGAGCAGAGTATAAAAGACATAATTTTAAAGGATATTCGATCAAGAATTTTTCCAACAGGTCAAGGCTGGGGGAGAAGCATCCAAAAGAAAGAGAAGAACATGCACCCAAGGACGTGAAATAAAAGGGTGGTACCCTGAAGAACTGAAAGGCAGTTTGGCACCACTGCAGTAGAACAGGGAAGCTGAGAAATGCAGAAGAGCCAGGCAGTTTGGGTGATAGACTGGGAGACACAGTTTTTGTCAAGTTTTGGATGTCTTAATCAGCATAGGTGACAAGGAGCCGGAAAGGGTGGTATGATGGAGCGTAGAAATGATCTTTGATAGCAGGGAAGAGGAAAAACAGGGACAAAGAGACTGAAGTGGAGCAGTAATTCAGGAGGAAATAGGATTGATCCAGATGAGAGAGATAAGGCCTGATGGAGGCACTGGACTGGTTTACAGCACAGAAAACTCATACTTGATAAGACTAGCTTAGCCACTGGGTAGAGAGGTCTAGAAAGGAGGAAAACAGAACTCTTGTTTTTTATCTCCTTCTTGGCAAGGCATAGCTCTAAGTTCACAGAAAATGCTCAGAAACAGTCCTTTAACGAGCAAGTTTGTGTACTATTGTCTGATCTTGATTTAATTTTATTTCTAATTTTAAAATTATGTTCTATGAACCAGAACCTTCCAAGTTTTTATGCAACCTCTTGGTTTACTTCAAGTCTACAAGAATTCTCTTCATATTTCCAAATTATTTGCACTTCAAGTCTATAAGACTTCTCTTAATTAATTTACTAGATTATTTGTAAGCAGAAAACCAAAAGTGATTTTTTTCCCCAACCACACATTTACCTATGAGGATAGTCATTAACATCATATTCAAAAAGACTATGGGAATAATGTGGCATGACCAAGAACAAAGAAGAGAAGATGTCAAACCTTACCAACACACAAACACGAGGCTTCTTTTTATTGCAGGTCACATAGAGTAACAACACAATTTTTCTTAGTATTTCAGGTCATTTCAACCTTTAACTGTGTGTCTTAAAAACACAGAGTTTTTTTTTGAAAATGACTTCCAGGCTACAGGAAGAAATGCCATATTCAGTCTATCAGAGTTTTTACATTATCAAAGAAGAGAAATACAGTGCAAACAGAATTACTTGTTTCTTAGGCCGACAATGTAACTACATAGCAAGAGTTGAAAAGTTCTTCCATGAATATGATGCCTATTTTATGAGTATTTTAAAAAATATTTTTAAGAATAAAAAAGAAAGCCATCAGAGCTTCAAATGGATTTTGAACAGATAATTTTGAATGAATAAAATTTTGGGAAGCATGTCATATGTATATGTGATACATATGATTTCTGAAGAATTTTTAAAGCTAAGGTCAGCAAACTGCACACTGTTGGTGATGTGTGATCCACTACCTATTTTTGCACTACTGTGAGCTAACAATAGTTCTTATAGTCTTAAATACTTGGAAAAAATCAAAAGAAGACTATGTGATGATTATCAGAAATTCAGATTTCACCATCTTTAAATAAAGTTTTTTTGAACATAGCTTACCATTCCTTTTGTACCGGCCACATTCGTGCTACCACAGCAGAGCTGTGTGTAATAGAGATCATTTAGCCCACAAAGCCTAAAGTATTTACAAAAAACCTCTCTTTTTCCAGAGATGTTTTCTGACCCTTGGTTTAAGAGCTTTCTGCTAAAGAAACATGATTTCCATGAACTAAAGGCTCCTTGGAGATGAAACTGAATGACATGTTGTGTTTGAATATATATATGAATTTCATAAAGATCATAAAGCTCCTAGAAGGATACTAATATCCCAGAATAGAGTAAAACACATGCTTCCACTCTATTTAGGATGCTTATTTTCCCATCCTGTTTCAGTGGAGCACAGTTATTAAGAACATGTGTTTAAAGTCTTTCTTATCCTTTACATGTTGATTAGCTTTCTGTGACCTTAAGCTAGTGACTTATTCTCTTGTAAGCCGTAGGCTTCCTATAGAAATGAATAACAATGATACTAACCTCACAGAGTCGCAGTATCAAGTGGATGAATGAAGTGATTGTTTTTAAAGGAATTACTTAGGTACACAGCAGGTGTGTAATAAATTTTGTCATGATTACCACCACTATCTGAAAACATCAGTTTCATGCTTTGGTATTCCACTCCTAGCAATGTTTTTAATGACTGCTTTGATGAGAAAATCCACAACATTCTGCTTACATATGTTCCCACAGCCAGGGCACTTCCATCTGCATCATTATCTGCTGAAAAACTGTTATCTATGCTGCATAGATCTAAGAGCACATTTACCAGGAGAATGGGAAAACAAAGTCGTGGTGCTAATTGGTGTTGGAAGGTTATTCAGCAACGGGATTATGGCTTCTGAGCAGCATGTTGGGATTTTATTTTATTTTTTAGGTTATACACTAGTCCAACTTTTTCTATGGAAAATCCACACTTCTGTGATGGAGTGCTGATGAAAGCTAGGGGGATTCAGCAGTGAAATTCTTTTTTTGAGTGGATGAATTTGTCATTTGATCCATTTTATGTTAATTTAACACCAAATTTTTTTATTATTTTCTACCAATCTTAGAAAATCATGAGGGGGCGGTGCTAGGAAATGTGCATGGGCTTGTGGACCTCAGCTCACCCTGTCCTTGGGATTGCTGGACTCCAGGTTTCTGGGGAGGGATCCGGGACCCAGTGTACTTGTAGGATCTCAACTGTAGTGCTGCTTCTGTTTGCTTCTCTCATCTCTAAATGTGCCCTGAGCAGGCTCAGTACGGATGTCCTCTGCTCACCAAGGGTGCTCTGCTAAAGAGGAGGAGAAACCTCTTTTCTTGGTCTTCACAAAACATATCTGCCTAAACACAGCTAAAGGGAAGAGGAATACTTTCCCAAACCAATAACACTCGTACCCCCTCCCCCCAAAATTAGTTAAAGAAATAATCAGAATTCCAGGAAGAAGCAGGTATCTCCACAATGCACCCTGGAAACAGAATTTTGACAGGTCCTCTCCCCACCACACATTATTTTTAATCACATCAAAGAGGTTTTATAAATCTCACTTGTTTTTGCGTCCTGCATTTTGTGGTCTTGACATATTGTTTTGAGGAAAATGCCTCCAATTTTATCTTGCCCCTCAGTTAAGGTTGAGGGGGAACTGTTAATGCAATGTAGCCACTCAAAAGAAGCACAACATATTTGAGAATTCTTACATATTCTCATTGGACTCATGGTTAAGAAAGACAGACATGCACACAGCAGCCTGGTGTGTGGATAAAAACAATCCATTAACGCTCTGGGGTGGGCAGGTTCTGGTTACTGGTAGGAGTAACTCTCATCATCATATTCCAGCTCAACCTCCTCCTCATCATCCAGCAGCCCATATTTAAACTTCCGGTAGACAGTGCCATCTTGGCCCATGTAGACAATGTCATCATCATCATCTTCATCATAGTCCCTGTCTCTGTACTCAATCATCTGGTCCTCTTCAAAGTTGGTGTTCTCGCGATAGCTGCTCTTGTAGGAATAGGACTTGGCAGGATCAGCCAGCTTTTCATAGCGGGCCCTTTGTACAGGCTGGCTGCGGCCCCGAGACTTCTTCCAGACAACCGCAGCGGCCCCCAGCAGAAGCACCAGTGTGATGGAGGAGGTGACCAGCAGAGCTGTCTTGGAGCGCTCAGAAGCAGGCCCAGCGGCGGTCCGAAGGATGCACTCCTCTATGGGAAGATGTTCCCAGAGGCAGAGGGGGGAGGGAAAAAGTGGAAGAGAAGAAAGAGAATTGGAGAGATTGGTTTCTCAGGTAAAGAACTTCATGTTTACTTCTTACATCTGAAATGGAATCACTACCCATGGCTTTCTTAGGGGCCCACTCTACAAAACTGGCTACACGGGAGTCCGGTCCTTATGTCACAACAACAACAACAACAACAACGTCTTTTTAGAAAGGTCAGCCTAAGATCCAAAGTCTCTTAAGTGTCTAACCTCCTCAATTGATTCTTCTGTTTCCCTCCTGAGAAAATATTTCATCTTTGCGCCGCTGAGCACTAAGAATATTTCTTATATTCTTAAATGCTTGAGAAAAAAATCAGTGTGATAATTATCAGAGATTCAAATTTCACCATTTACAAATAATGGTTTCTTGCTTGGTTTTAGCTAATGCTGAAGACAACTGATTTTTCTAAGGCTCAGTCCTCTCTCTGCCCAGCTGCACACAAGCCTAACCCAACACCACTGTCCTGTTCTTCGGGCACAGGAGAAGGGAAAGTATAAAACTCCTGACTCTTACAGCTGCGAGGGGCCTTAGAAATTGCTTAGGTCAATTTGTTGTGACAGTTGAGGAAAGCAAGGCCCATTGACAGGAAGTTAATTGCAACCTTGTCAAAGACAAGACCTCCTTTGTGGCACGAGTGAAATTCCCATCTATTAATCTTAACTCTGTGCAGCCTTCTTGAGACGCAAAGGCAAAACTATCTGACAACTGTTTTTTGGCCTCCTGGAATTTTGTGGCCATCAGCTGGCAGGAAAAGAACTGTAGCATCTTTAAATGCTGAGAACCAATTTGAATTTTTTTTTTTTTTTTTTTTTTTTTTTGAGACAGGGTCTCACTATACAGTTCAGGCTGGCCTTGAGCTCACTTTGTAGCCCAGGCTGGCCTTGAACTCTCAACGATCCTCCTGCCTCAGCCTCCTCAGTGCTGGGATTACAGGTGTGTGCCACCATGCCCTGGCTCTGCAAACCAATTTGAGTGATGGGTGATTTCTCCTATCACAAGGAAGCTTCCTGAAGTTAAGAGCTCTGCCACTTCTTACCCACAAGCCCCTGTTTCCATTCATTGACTGACAGCATGGAGTAATTGCAACAGTGTCTCAGAGGAAAGGATTAAACCGTAACTTTAGCAATAAACTCGTTTTTCTTATTCTACACTCATTCGTTCAGTTGGTATGACTTACTTACTTTGCTTTTGTTTTCTTTAATTTAGCTCATACTTGTAGGAGTGCGAAAGATAGCATAAAAAGTAGATTAAAAAACCTCTCAGGCCAGGTTGGATATACAAGTTCAAGTAGGCAGCAGGTTCTCCTAAAATTTTTTGAACCACTGACCTGCCCCCAGAATTCTTTATGAGAGATTCCAGTATAGTTGCTGACAATCTAGCTTAAGGGAGATGATCTGCTGCCAGCTGCAGTGATGTTTTGCTTATCAGATCTGATTAGTTAGATCTGATTCATCACTAACATCTTTTTTTTGCTACTGCTAAACAAGCTTTATGTTTTATTTTCTCTCGTATTCTCATAGGATTTTGACCAGCATGTACAATTTCCTCCTTTAAAGTAATAGCACTGTTATTATTGCATTCATCATTACCAATATCAGTGCAGAATTTTTTCCCTGGAGGAAATTAAAATACCAAAGGAATAGATAAGTGACCTGGGTTCTTTCTCTTCCTTCAGGAAGTGTTTACCCACTGCCTGAAGGAAGAGAATGAACACAAGGCTTTCTGAGGTGGTTTCATTCAGTAGGATCCATATGCAATAACATCTGACTCTATTCTCTGTCTTAGGCTGCTGGGTCAGTCAGTTTCTGTGACCTGGTGTCTTTGGAAGGGCAAGCTGGCTCAGTAATAAAGGAGCAAGTAATCAAGAGTTATTTTCTTGCCTCGTGCATGCTAGACGGTGCTCTGCAGACTGAGCTATAACCCAGCCCGAGTCTCTGGAGTTTTAGAGTTGCCCCAAGTGCCTTTGTACGAGCTACCAAGAAACCAGGAAACTTATTAAACAGCTCTTCCTTGGAACAAACTCAGAAACTCCTCAGCCAGTACGCATTTCTTCTGGTCTCATGTAACAGTACTGATGTAATGAGGGGTGTTATTCCCAGCAGGCACAGCATACATACTAGGCAGTAAGACACTGAGGGTGGGTGTGTGTAAGAAGTGGGAAAGCAGCTGCTTGCTGGGCTGGGAAAGCTGAAGAATTCATTTTTGGAAAGATGACATTAAGAACCTAATTGAAAGAGGTGATGGAAAAATAAAAAATAACACTTTCCTACTATGTGTAAAACCCTAGGTTTCGTCCCCAGTACTGCAAATGAATAAATAGGAAAGAAAATGGCTTGATAGCAGTTATGGATTTGGCATTTTCTTAAATTTACAAATGGGCAGACTCCCATGAGTATCTGTTTTGGGGATCACAGAATGTTTCAACCCCAAAGAAAAGATCTATTTCTGGGCTAGAGAATATGTTTGAAGAACATAGGAGCCTAGTGTGATGGGGTGCAACGCAGTCCTACCTACTAGGAGGCTGAGGAGGGGGGCTCTCTGGAGCCCAGGAATCTGAAACCAGCCTGGGCAACATATAGAGACCCCATCCCAGAAACAAAGAATATGTTTCCTTCACATGAAATCACTCACTGAAATCTAAGATTGCAACCAGTAAGAACCAAAACACATATATGGATAGGGTTAGAGGTTGGAAGACAGTTATGGACTGGAAAGTGGTGAAAGAGGTTTTGTGTTTCAGCCTTCAGTGAAAATATATTTCTAGAATGCTTTAGGTCTCGAATGGAAAGCCTAGATTTGGGCTGACTTCCACAGAGTGATTCTTCAGTAGAATCAAGGTAATATTGCCCTCAGCTTCTTCAATAGCTAGTTCCTTTCTCTTTTTTTCTGGGAGGGAAGACTAAAAGGAAGAAAGTAAATGTATGAAGGTCAGATTCTAGGGCTATTGGACCACTGCTCTGGGAGGCAGCATAGCACTGAAAGGACTGTGGGCTTTGCAGTCCAAAAGATTCATATTCTAGCTCCAGATAAGTCTCTCACTATTGATGTAGACTGAGTATGCTAATCAGCCCTTTTGAGCCTCAGTCTCCACATCTGTAAAATGGGGTCTGTCATATCCACTTATGAACTGAGATAATGGACATGAGGGTTCAGTACAGAGGGCATGCAGAAGGTACTCAATAGAAAGGTAGCCTTCGGATCTTCCTGAACTCTCCTCCCCGCCCCCTGCGCCGGTGCACTTCCTGAGCCCATGACCTTCCTTTGCAGGAGGCCTCCTCTGCCCTCACCCATGGTATCCTGGCAATCGCAGCAGTCCTGGGCAGAGCGGGGGTGGGAGGCATTGCAGCACTCCAGGCAGCGACCGTCTTCCAGGTGCAGCAGCAGGGGAGCGGAGCATATGGTACAGTTCTTGGGGCCGGGTCCCTTGCATTCCATGCAGCTCTCATGGCATTTTTCACAGGTAAATTTTTCTCCCTGTTAAGAAGAAAGAAGATCCTTTTGAGCAAAGGGATTAACTCCCAAGTCAGAAATTCCTCTTGTCTCCATAAGGTAGGAGTCATGTGGGGGACTGCGGAAAGATGGTGGGATCTGGGCCCATTCTCACAGTGCTGGGTGACAGAACCAACAGTCTGCTATGGCTGGAGCCATACTTGGCCCTGATCTTTGAGATCTGCAATAGTAGGGGACAGGCTTCCAGAATAACTGCTTGTGAAGTGACAGATCCTATGCTGGTGGCCAGCTCAGGATAGTAACTATTTCGTCTGGTCCACACTATATAGACTTTCATAGGTTTAAACATTCTACATTCATTTCCAATACTTTAAAAGTGTGCTATTTCACATGTAATCAGTTCCTAGTTTCTCTTTAAAACCTGGAGGACCTGTCAACACAGGAGTCGTCACTCCCACATGGCAATGTTATCAACAGAGCTGAGTGGCATGTGACCCTTTTGATGTGCTCCTATTTGATGCAATTTCCAGCACTTTCTACTACGTCACCAAGACACATGAATTTCCACTCCATCATGCTTGCGCTGTGGTTGTTTCTGCCGTAGCATCCACCAAGACCCAGGATGAGATAAATTGTGACTCTGTTGCTAAAGCAGTTAAATCACATTGGTGAGAGAGTCCAGAGGTGAGAAAAAAGTGGCTTTTCTCCGGTAAGTTGTTGCTTGTCTGGTGCTAGAAGCCTGATTAGGGAGATAATGTCCTATCCTACTTCTATTAACTTTGGAAGACTAGTAAAATAGAAAAGGGAAGAATGGCAGGGCTGGGGGTGTAGTTCAGGGGCACAGCACTTGCTTAGCATGTGTGAGGCCCTAGGTTTGGTTCCCAGGACCGTGATCAATCAATAGTAATAATAAAGAAGAGTGGAAATCACACTGTTGAGTATCTTGGCACACTACAGATGCTGCTGAAGCATTTTATCAGCTTTTATTTCATCAAATCTGCTCTGTTCAGTTCTAGTTCTGTCACTACTCGTGACCTTTAGCATATTATTTAATCTCTACAATTCTCAATTTCTCCAAACTGCACTCAGGGCTGACATCAGAATTTAAAGTGAGTGTCTATATGGATATGCTAGTTTGTGTTCATTTCACCATGGAGAGACTTATTCATTTGCTAAAGTTTGGAAACACAATTAAGAAATTAGTGGACTAAAAAAAAATCCATGGCTTTTATGCAAACAGATGAGTTCTTAGGACAGGGGAAGAAATACAAGAAATGAAAGAGAAACATGTGTGCGCTTCCCACCTTATTCAGATCCTTCTGGTTAGACAGCAGAGAGTAACAGAAAAGAGAGTTTGTACTCCTGAAATAACTTTTCCATGTAGATTAAAACCTCTGCACCCATAAAAAGCCGAGAGGGCTCATTCTGAGGCTCTCCTCACTTGATCGCCCCATTATTTATCTTAGATCTTCTCAGTTTCTGCGAAGACTACAGCAAGGGCAACCCTATTATTTCACGATGCAATGGAAGATTTTTTAAATGTTCTGTGGTGGACATTTTTAAATGATAGCGAATGTTGGAACTTTAAGATTTTCTGATTGTCCCAAATGACATTCAGGAACTGAGTTCATGCTCCTTTCTCAAAGAAATGGAAGACGCCCACCCCCAGCTCTCAGTACCTCTCCCACTCGGTATTTCCCCACGAGACAGTCCAAGCTGCAAATTCCTCCCATGAGGTGGTAGTTCCACACACAGGACAAGCAGCTCAATGCTTCTTTTCCTGAAAGAAAAGAAAATTCCAGTTAAGAGACCATCCTCAGATTTCAGCCTCTGCCTTGGTTCCAGAACACTGAGGAGCAAGGACTATGTCAAGTAAATTGAAGAAGACATTGATAAAGGATATAAAAGAGTCTACAAGGCAAAGTAAAGACTTACAGATTATCCCATCAGTCCAGTCTATGTTGACTCGGTCTGCAAATTGAGCATTCAGAGATGACAGATATTTTATAACAGCAAGAGAAGTTTTCAGAGAGTGAGAAATCGTGCAGAAAAGTTTATAAAACCTTTCTTTGGGCTGATTATTGTTTAACTAGTGAGGAGGGTGACAGCAGCTGGTGTGCAGGGTCCGCCTCTGCAGGGGTAAGCCGTGAGTCCCTCACTGGGAAATAGTACTCGACTGGGATGAAAAGTTCCTAGGCTGAAAGAACTTGGCAGATCATTTTATCCAGTAATTCTTACTTTTGGGGGAGGTGATGGTGTGGTAGATTCTTTTAAAATTCTCTTAAAAGCTATGAACTCTCTTCTCAGAATTTGCCATCCCATTTACTTAGTATTTTTTAATTACATAAACACTACCAGTAAGACTCAGACTTGCAATGCCACCTATCCAAGGCTATAGAGACATTGTCAAATCAAGATGCAAATTCAGATTTATTGACCCACAGAACAGATTTTTTCTTTTACCACCCTTGTCTGCCTTAACTCCTGACCCACCCGAGAGGGGAGCTCTGAATCTCTATAGTTTGTTCCGGGTGGCGTTCCTAATGCAGATGTCCCAAGAATGACTGACCCAAACATTTTTTTCTGTGTTTACTGGAAAGAGTAGGGGACAGGAGACCTGAACTCCAGCTCATTTTATGAGGAAGATCGTGGCATTTCTCTGATAATTCAAAGCAGGAGCATGGAAGAGATTAGCACAGAATGCACTCAGAATTGTGAAAGCTTGATGGAGGTCTTGCCATCAGAACCACGCTGTCAAGAATGGTTTGGTGAACTTGACAAAGAACCCTGAGTTCTGTCTTTCCCACTTAGAAAGGAGTTACACTGACTTTTATTGTTTGATCTGCTTTTAGTTTTGTGATATTAAGGACTGAACCCAGGGACATTCTACTGCTGAGCTACGTTCCACTCTTTTATATTTTGTTATTTTGAGACAGTGGCTTGCTAAGCTGCCCAGGTGGAACTTGAACACGTGATCCTCTTGCTTCAGCCTCTCTGAGTGCTGAGATTAAAGGTATGCACCATCATGCCTGGCTGAATTTAATCCTTTATAATGTTTCTATGCAAATGTGAATTCTGAGCTCTGAACATCTTAAAGAATAAACCCTTAGGACCCAACTGCTTCTGAGCTTGGGGGCTGTGTGCAGTGGTATAAATCCAAAGCCATTCCATTTGTGTTTTGGCTGTAGTTTCACATAAGATATCTGCATATTCTGAAACATAATAGTGGTCTCTGATAGAAAAATAAACTTTTTACCTCTTTCTTTTTCCCATTCCACAATTTCTTAAAATAAAGCTTAGACATCTTACTCCAATTTTTTAAACACAAGGTTTTATTTAAAAAAAAAACTTTATATTTTTAATAAGGAGAAACTAAGGGCATGTGGAATGTAAAACAGTGAAACTCATAGAAAAAGTAGAATGCTGGTTACCAGGGGCTGGGGGAATGGCGAGAGTGGAGAAGTGTTGCTTCAGAGGGCACCAAAGTTTCAGGTGTGCAGGAGGAATAAGTTTCTTGAGATCATTTATCGTACAGCACGGTGAATATAGTGGTAACGATGTGCTGTACATTTTTAAATTGCTAAGAGTAAACTTCAGATGTTCTTATGACATAAGATGAGAATTATTTGAAGCGACAGACATGTTAATTAGCCTTATTTGATCCTTTTGCATTGTTTGTGTGTGTATATCATAACATCACTTTGTACCCCATAAATATATGCAGTTATAACTTGTCAATATACAGTAAAATAAGGGTGTAAAAAACCAGAGGGATATGCTCCACCACTGAGTTACACCCCATCTTTTAATTTTTAATTAACACATCATATTGTTTAAATTTATGGAGTGCAGTGTGATGTTTTGACACATGTATATGTCATGTAATGATTAAATCAGGGCAGTTAGCATATCCATCCATTCAAACATTTATTGTCTGAGGATTCAAAAATCTCCTTTTCCAGCTGTTTAGAAATATGCATTATTATTGACTACACAGTTGCTTTGTTGTGCAGTGGGACACCGACGGTGTATTCATCTTGGCCATAACTGCAGTAACCTCTCTGGATCCCCCCTTCACCCCTCCAGACTGGCTGCAGCCCAGATCCTATGGGTCAGCTGTGGGTGACATATTGCTGACTCTACTTACACATCCTATACTAATCTCCTGCAAAACCTGCACCCTTGGGACCCGAAATCTTTCACAAAAAGCAGGTTGTTAATTTCCAGAATGATTTCTCTTACTTTCAAGTTTAAGACCCTACATCTAGTGTTGCTTCTGAGAGGCTTGGGTATAAAAGACAGGCATTTTCACATTTCCTTAAAAGTGAGAATAATACACCACCTGCTGTCCCTCAGACTGAACCTCACAGGACGAACTCAAATGCAGAGTAGCCCCTAGGTGTCTGTGAGTGTTAACTCTGCTCAGAGGGAGGTTTCTGGGAATTTAGGTGGTTCATCTGAGGAAAACTGCAAGGAGGGAGCAGAGCAGGCCTGAGAGAGAATTCATGGGAACTACAACCACCAGAAGTGCTGTAGGGGCAGAGTGGTGACTTTGGAGTTACATCTTGCCACCGATTGCCTCAGATGCTGCACATGGAACTATAGGACTTAATGTTTGTCCTGCTGAATTTTAGACTTGCTTTGGTCCCATTACTTTATATCCCCATTTGTAACTTTTGGAATGGAAATATCTATCTTGTGCCATTGAATGTTGGAATTGTTTAACTTTCTTTTCATTTATACACTCTTTCATAGCTAAGAGTTTGCCTTAAATATCTGAGGGGACTTTTGGGCTTTTCAGCAACGATAAAACTGTTAGGACTTCGGCAGTGCTTGGGAATGAACTAAATTCTTTTTTCATAAAGGAATATATATGAATCTTTACCCTGATTTAAAACAAAACAAAACAAGACAAAACAAAACACCCAGAACTCTGATAGACATTTAGGAGAGAAGACTGGTGATTGAATCCAGGGTCTTGCTCATGTTAGGCAAGTACTGTACCACTGAGCTGCATCCCCAGTCCTTTATATTTTACACTGAGATAGAGCCTTGCTAAATTACCTGGAGTGGACTTGCACCTTTAGCCCTCTTGCTTCAGCCTCTGAGTAGCTAGAATTAGGGATATATGTGACCACAGTCAGCACAGGGGTCTTTAAAAACGTCAAGTGTTAAATTAAAAACAAACAAATAAAAAAGGTGAACTTTAAGTTGTTAAACCCAGAAAACAAATTGGAGAAATGGAAAAGTGCCAAAGAATCACCCTAGTAAAGATCATGAAGAGATAAAAATATACAAGAGCAGGCAGGAGATGTAAAGGACAGATCAAGAAACTTACATTACATTTCACAAGAATTTTAGAAAAAGAGAGTTGAAGAAAGGGCAGAGAAGCAGTATTTGAAGATGTAATAGCTAAATATTGTCCATTTTACAAAAGAACACTAAGATTTATTTGTTTTCTGTACATCCACTCAACACTTAGGAGCACTTTATCCTGGGTTACACTCTAGAGGAGTAGGGGATCCAAAATGAATGTAGTATAGCCCTTGCTCCTACTTGAGGGACTCGCAATTAGTAAGAGAGATGGATGTTGGTGGTGCACGCCTGTAATCTCAGCACTTCGGAGGCCAAGGCAGGAGAATCATGACAAGTTTGAGGCCAGTCTGGACTACAGAGGAAGACCTTGCCTCAAACAAAAGCAGAAATGGAAAACAAAAAGAGAGAGAAAGGCAGATATGTTTAATTAAAGTGTGATGTAAACAGAGCTGTGATAAGCACTGAATTTCAGAATCAGGAAAAGGAGGAAGAAAATGTCCAGGACTAAGGCTAGCTGGATCCTAGGGACTTCATAGAGCGCCATTCCTCAAGAAGGGAGCCAAAGTCAGGAAGAACATGAAAGAGCGTGGTGGGTTTAACAGTGCTGAGGTTTTGGGCAGTTCTAGTTGGTTCTTGGTTCTAGAGTACATGGAAGAAGAATTAAGACTGATCTTAAGGTGGCTGACTGGAGAAAGATTTTAATCACCTTTAAAAATGAAAAACATTTACTGAAAGTTCAGGGAGGGCTGTAAGTAAATAAATCATGTTCACTGATGTGATGAGTAGGGTCGGAAAGAGGTGGTGCCCCCGCTGAAGTAAACTCCACATAATGCCAATCCATCACCAAAGGAAACTGCCAAGTTCATTCTGAAAAGGAGAACGGAAATGCACCCTGCCAGGCATTAATATTCATCAAGAAATCTGCTCCGTGCAGCATACCTGCAGTCCTAGCTACTCAGGAGGCTGAGGCAAGGCCTGGCTTGAGTAACTTAGAAAAAACTTGCCTCATGAGAGAGGGTGGGGGGCTGAGTATGTAGCTCAGTTCAAGGTTCTAAATTCAATCTCCAGTGCTTAAAAAAATACTAGAAATAATATAAAAGTATCCTTTTCACATTCTGTGGTACTGAGAATTGAACCCAGGGCCTCATGCATGCTAGGCAAGCACCCTTCCATTGAGCTATATTGACAGCCTTTTTTATTTTTATCTTGTGACACAAACTCATTAGATTATCTAGGCTAGCCTCAAACTTGCAATCCTCCTGCCTCAGCTTCCTCGGTAGCTGGGATTACAAGGATGTGTCACCCTACTCGATGGAAGTACAGCACCTATTTCTTACATGTTGAGAATTCATGTAGAGATCTCTGGCTTTAGTGTTCTGGATGACCTGATGTGTGTGGATGGTGGAGTGAAGGGTCGGGATAACCTGCTAGATTCTTCAAAGATGCGACAGGAGATGCTGGGAAGAATGGGAAAGGAGCATGGGGAGAGCAGAGGAGATCCAGTTGGAGAAATATTTAGGAGGGAGTGACAACAGAAGTTCTGCTGTGCTGAGGGAGGTGGGGTGGGCAGGAGGCAAGGGAAAAAAAAGAACCAAGGATGGCATCAAGGTGTCATGCTGGGCCATGGTTGGATGGTGGGCTCATTAGCAGTAATTTCAGGAGTCTCTGGGACAGGCAAATAGGTATCTGGAAAATAGGAGTGAGTTTGGAAGAAGCAGCAGATGTCTTAGGGAGTTCTTGAAGTTATGGAAATAAACGGATTTCCCTAGGCAGATGGAAAGGAGCACAGCACTCCTGGAGGAGCGGATGCCCGGAGATGGGCTTCGGAGTGTGAGGACTCAGAGGGCAAGGAGTGGTTGCAGGAAGCCGCAGAAGCTGAGCGTGAAGAGAGCCTGCCCACCCTGGAGAGTTCTGGGTCTGATGCTGGGGAACCAGAGGGACCTCCAAAGGCAGGAGGAGGGACGGAAGGTCAAAGCAGGAAGGAGAACTTTCCATTTTGCACTCATGTGCAAACCATCGCTCTCCTCTCACCTTCACATTCCTTGCAGGTTGGATGGCACCTCTCACAGGTCTGTGTGCTCTGCTGCGCATAGTAATGCTCTGGGCAGGTGCGGTAACATTGTCCCTTGGAGCGGAGAAGAAAGAAGTACCGATCACAGGACAGGCAGTCCGTGGGGTGTGGGCCCCAGCAGGCCTTGCAACTCTTGTCACACTTCTCACACTGCCCAGTAGAATTGTCTGCATAATACCTGAAACCAGGAGGGAGCAAAGACAGAATGCAGTCACCCCTCAGTGTCTGCAAGGACTGGTTGTGTGGACACCAAGATGCAGGGTGACCACGTCCCTTGGGTAGCATGAGGCAGAATTTGCATAGCAGCTATATATCTCCTCCCTTATATTTCAAATTACCTTCAACACTTATAGAGTCTAATGCAGTGTAAATGCTGTGTAGCTACTGGTTGTCCTACATTGTTTCAGAGATAATGACAAGAAGTCTGTACATGTTCAGTACAGACACACTTTTCTGCACATTGTTAGTATTTGAGTCAAGGTGTTGCTATATGGTTCATATTGGCCTAGAACTCACTATGTAGTCCAGGTTGGCCTCAGCTCATGGTCCTCCTGCCTCAGCTCCCAAGTGCTGGGGTTACAGGTGTGTGCCAGTGTACCCAGACTTTTCTAAGTATTTTTGGTCCTTGATCACATGCAGAACCTGACAGTGTGGAGGACCGGCTGTTCCAAGTGTTGAAAATACATCATTGGTCAGGTAGGATTCATTCACAAGCTGGATGACTTTAGCTTCTTTACTTGAATTTACTTATTAATTCATTATTATGATATTAATGAATCTAATGATAATCATTTTTTATTATCTATAATTTGGGTATTATAATGTTTCCCTCTCTATTTGTAAGAATTAAATTGAATAATACATATGAAAAGACCTAACAGGTTAGGTGGTATGATGCATGCCTGTAATCCCAGCATTTGGGAGGCCGAGGCAGGAGGATCTATGAGTTCAAGGCCAACCTGCGCTACTTAGTGAGTTCAAAGCTAGTCTGAACTACATAGTGAGTCCTTGTCTCCAAAAAAAAAAAAAAAAAAAAAGACTACATAAGACTCAAAAAGAGAAAATAGGGAAAGGTGAAAACATACACAGAAGAGAGGGAATACACAGGACTATAATAAAAAATCAGATGTTTAGTCCTGTCTTTACCATGTTTTGGTAGCTAAATGATTTAGGGCAAGTTGCTTAACACCCCTCTGAGCCTCAGTTTCCTTATCTGTAAACTGGACAGACTAAATCAGGGGATGCAGCTCAGTCATAGAATACTCGCTCAGCACATACAATACCCTGGGTTCAAAACTCAGCACTAAAAAAACCAGAAAAACAAAACAAGAACAAAAAACCAAAAACTAACATCAACCTCATGAGACTGTTGTGGAATCAAGCCACACTGAAAAGATATATTGCAAGTAGAAATGTTTTGTAAACTCTATTGTAATGATGGAAAGCATTCGTAGGCACTATGGGGGGGAACTTAGCAATCCTTTCTCAGTTTTAAAAATTTTCAAAGAGTAATGCAAAAGAAAGACAATTAGGAGTTTGCCAGATCAGATTAAAAGAAGAGAAGAGGCCAGACCCACAGTGTACCAGAACTCTTTTTGCACAAAAGCACTGTCAAATCTCATGAACTTCCTATTTTGAGTAGTATCCTGTGCACAAGGACAGACAGAACTCTAATTCTTAGGGAACCTTCTGTGGGTTAAACTCCCAAGTAGTCATGTGTGTTGGGCCGGGATTCAGAGGATCATGCACCTGCCTTGGAAGGCAAAGGTTTCATCCAGTGCACATGGAACACTGGTTTCACTAAAGAGATTGTTTTCCACTTGTATCATTAATGCTCCAGTTCTTCCCTGCTGAAAAGATCTGTCACAATCTACCTCTTCTCACTCGCCTGGGTAACTTAACACACAGGAACAATGGAACAGTGGTCTTAGTTCCACAGTCAACATTGTATTTAGATATATTTAGATCCCTTTCCCTCCCATCTTTCCTTTCTCCCTCCCTTTCTCCCTCCCTTCCTTCCTTCCTTCTTTCCTTCCTGGCTTAGAGTATTTAATGGTTTGATAGGAGGAAGGCGGAGATGGGATCCAGGTCTTTCCAGACACTGTCTTGGTGAGGTGGAAGAGTTAAGCCCGCCCGCCCATCACTCTTGTTTGGCAGAGCCCTTTCTTCCTAACATTGATCTGTATGGTGTTTTCAAGAGCCGCCAATGTGTGTAGCTCTGTGCTGAGTGCTGTAATAGCATGTGTGAAAAATAAGAGCTATTTTACTTCCAGGGTCTTCTAATTTTCTTGGGATGTTATAGAGGAATAAACTCTTGAGCGTCAAAATATTTGTCTTAACCCACCTTATTCAAATGTACAAGGTGCTCTTAACCAAAACATGTATTCAGTAAATGAATGAATGAATGAAATAAAAATGCAAACCAGCTTATTGCACTCTAATGAATGAGACAAGCCAAGCCTGCTCTAGGACCACGGAGAAGAGATGTGCCAATTTGGGGTGAAAGCATTTATGGGAGGTTTAAGGTTACAGCCCTTTACTTTGGGTCTGGAAGCTCTCAGTGCCCTGGGTTACTGGATGGGAAGGAGGAGTTACCAACATGTCTATATCAGTATTTCTTTTTGCTGTGATGTCCAGAGGGAAAAAAGCAGTGACCCAAGTCAAATTCTCTTCTAAAGAAGCTATAACCAGATATCCCGATAAGCACACCAGCAGTTTTTCCTAGCAGAAAATGCTAAATGCTTTCAGGATAATCAGTGTATCTAGGTTGCTTATGAAAACTAAACCTATAATCTGTAAATTTATGGAAGGTGTGATGTGTTAGAGAATTGATAGGATATAAATGGAGCTGTTAACTGAAATGGTTCCCTTTGTAAAATCAATGCTCCATGTGCATTGCTTTGATCGACCTTGCAGACTGAATCTGAATTGGAACAAATGCTAAAGCTGAAGGGAAAGGACCTCCATGAAAGGTCTTGGGTTGCTCCGTGGGAGGGAGGCATTGCTTCCACTTTGGAACTGCTCATACTCTTTTAATTACTAGGGAAGCTGGGCACTGACTGAGCTCAGTTGCTCAGGTGAGTCTGGTTTGAACCTCTGTGTCCTCTCACTGAGTCACTCTGCCTCTCCCATTTGGCTTCCATGATTGTGAACTTGTTCATCTTTGTTCCTCCCTAGCAGTGAGATTTTAATCTGACTGCATTGGCGTCTGGCTTAGTTTCGACATCTGCAAAGTGTGTTGGTATCCGGAGTGGCTGCAGAATTTGATGCAGGAAACTGCTGAGTATCTTACCCTTCCCTGCACTGGAGCAGACACTCTCTGCCCAGCTGGAACCAGCCTGCTCGGCAGGAGAGGCACTGCATGCTATGAATCCCTTGACAGGTCCTGCAGGAGCCATGGCAGGGGGTGCATCGGTGTCTGTCCTCATCGGTGAAGTAGCCCTCTGGACAGCTGTCCACGCAGGTGGTGTCTGTTGAGGCAAGAGAAGAGCCTATCTTGACACCAGGCTTGGCCTTTATGTGGGAGAAGAGGAGTGCATGAGGAATGAGGTGGTGGGCCTCTGGGCCGATGGACAGGCTTGGGAGTGGGGACAAATGCCCAGGAAAGAGAATCAGACATATAGCTATTGAGAGGGGAGGGTGGACAGAAGCCACAAGCTGGCCACGGTGGAGCGGACAGGGGTTCACTGTCAGCTGACATATCTGGCTCATGAGGCAAAGGACATCCCAGCCCTATACAACATCTCTATACAAGTAATTTGGTGCCTTGAAACAACACACATCTCTTATCTAACTGCTGTGGAGATGAGGACTCTAAAATGGGTCCACAAGTCTGTTCCTTTTCAGTCCCTTGGGGAGAATCAATGCCTAGTGTTTTCTGCCTTCAAAAGAGTGCCTGCATGCGTGGCCCCTCCTTTGTCTTCAAAGGCAGCACCGTCTCTGTCTCTCTCCTCTGTCATCACCTCACCTTCTCTTGCTAAGTCTGATCTCCTGCATTTTCTTATCAGACCCTTGTGATTATGTTGGGCCCATTGGGGTAATCCAGGATAACCCCTTCATGCCAGGATTCCTCAGTAAATCTCAGCTGCAAAGCCCCTTTTATACCCAGGGTAATATCTCTAAAGACAAGGGAAGGAGATGTTAACCATCTTCAGGATTATGCATCTATCATAAACTCCAACATGTTATCTAGTTTTAAATAGCCTGACTGGGGATATGGTCATATGGGGGGCAGAGTATGAGAAGTGCAGGCCTGGGCAAATCCTGCAGCCAGCCTTCAGGGACACCTTTCTGTATGATACACCAGAGCTGAAGTCTCAGTTCTACTTTAATCTGCATGTGCCCCTCTTTCTCAATTTATAGGAAGCTCACCTTGTAGTGAAGAAATTTCTTCCTCTATATATGAATGTAGCAGAAAATGCACCCCACCAGTATATTTCAGTTTTTGTTAGTTGCCCAGGTAACAGTTCCTGTTACAGTTCCTGTTACTTCTGTTTCTTAGAAATGCCTCGTCACTGTGATGCATAGCTGGCCACTATGATCCATATTATAAGAACCAGTCAAAGACAGCCAAGTAGTCTGCCTCTGTACTTGCCCTTAGCAACCCCATAAAAATCTCCTTCCCTGAGCCTTTGGGGTCTGACATTTTTTCTTGAAGTCAGTGCCCATCCACAGAAATAAATCTGCCTCCAAATCCTGGGTGACATCAATGTTTCTGTTTGTCGTACCATGAAGGCATCTGAGGTGACCTCTGGTGGCATTCTGTATTGGGGGTAATTAGAAAAGAAGGTCCTGTGAGGTGGGATGATAGGGGAGATACATTTGGAAGAAGTATTCTCAAGAAGAAGCAACTGTTAGGAGGAGGTTTGCTGGGCTTTGTGTAACAAGAGCTAAGGCAGATGCGCAAGGAAGGCTGGTGTCTTCTGTTGTGAGGGGCTCAGGAGTGGGTGTCTCTGTGTCTCCTCAGAAGAATGAGGCCCTTGCTGGTGGTGTCTTGGCAAGAAAAGGAAAAATCCGCCACATATTTCAACCTTGACAGTTTCACTTCTTGTAGCTGCCCTAGTGCCTGGGGACAAGCCTCGTGCACTCTAGTCCTTCCCACACTTCTCTTTCTTCTTTCTCCCAGCCTCTTCTTTCAATCGCATTGATTTCATCTTGCTTCTCTCTCCCATGCTCATTTTGAGCTTAGTCATGCCGTCCCTGGAAACTGAGGACATCGGCTCATCCTAGCAATTACCTTCAGAACATATCAGCAGACCACAGCTGACCTTGAGCTGCACCACACATTGTCCAGCAAGAATTATTAAGCAAGAGATGCTAAATCAAGGGGAAATTTTGAGGTGCTGAGTATCTATGTAATCTTAAGGTGACTCCCCACAGACTGCTTCTTAATTACAATGGAATCAGTGGCAGTTATTCTGCAGTGAAGTTGAACACCTTGACAGGATTATCGACATTAACAACACTGACGAGAGGTGGGTGGCTGCATGCACGGTGACGCCCTGCCTTAAAAACAAAGCAGTAACAAAAACGAACAATCAAAAAGACAAAGACAGGCTGGAAATGTTCCAGATTAAAGGAGGCTGGAGACTTGGAAACTAAATGCAAAGCCTAAACCTAGACTCAACCCTAATATAGACGGGAGTTGGCAAAATTTTAATAAGAATAGTATATTAAGGTATTGCCTCTATGCAAATTTATTAGAATGGACAATGTCTTGGAATCATGTAAGAAAGTATTCATATACTTCAGAAACAGTAAAGAGTTTTTGGGGCAGTTACTTACCATGATGTAAGTAAGTTACCCCCCAGTAGTTCTGAAAAGAAATACTGTAGGTAACACATCACTTAGTATAGAGTATATGGGGTTGGGGGGGTAAATGATAAGCAGGTGGCATGGGGTAAGAGATTTGAAATAAATACACTGGGCAGTGGACGTATGTGTGATGTTTTTTGCACTACTCTCACACTTGTATTTTTCTATAGGTTTGGAAATTTTCCAAACAAAAGTAAAAAAATTACAAAGAAAGAAGCCAATATCCACCGGGTACCAAACATTGTACCAGATGGTTTCCCAGAAGGAGAGCAAAACAGCGCCCTGGGGGTGGGTAGTAACTCACTCAGAAGAAGGCTGCTCCTCGGACAGCTGCGACACTGGTCCTCCGCGGGCCCCGTGCAGTGGAAGCACTTCCTGTGACAGGGCTTGCACCTGCGCACGTCCTCGTCCCAGTACTCGATGGCTGCACATTCATTGTGAGGCACGCAGGCGTCGTGGCTGTTCATCCGCAGGCCTTCCTGGCAGGTTGTGCAGGTCCCAGGTGACGAGCACGTCCGGCAGGACTCGAGGCAAGCTGCAGGTGTGGCGGGGAGCAGAGTGAGGGAACCCTTCCTCCTGGAGACCTCTGGGCTTTGTGCCGGGGTGTGGCTTCATGAGCTGGGCACAGCCCGTGGGCTCTAGGTGGAGCACCCTCATTGCAAAATGAGAAAACAGTAGCTGTTTTCCTTTCTCTGCAATATCCAGAGAGCTCCTCCCTGCAATGGCCGCCTCAGAAAGATTAATAATCCTTCTGTAATGACCCGCATGGCAACTAAGTAGTGGCAGGCAGCTCTGGGCGGCGCAGCCACACACTAGTGCGAGGCTTTTTTGGCCATGGTCCCTCCCTCGCCTCACAGCTGTGCGCTGTTATAACTGCCATCGGCAGAAAAGACCTGTTGCGCTTATGAATGCACAGTGCCTAGGAGAGGGCCTGCACACCAAACAAGCTCTCCATAAATGTTTGTTAGACAATAAAATGGGAACAACTCACCCCAGCCCAAGGCGTTCGCAGTTAGCACTCTCTCAGCCCGGTGCTTTCCCCAGATACACGCACATGCGCTCTCACGCTGCTCCCTCCCTTTCGTGGGAACAGTTTCCAGGCGTTCTCTTGAGTCTCTGCCCCACCTTGCCCATCTTCCGGCCTGTTTTTCTGTCCCCACTTGCCCACTTCCTATCCCCTTTCTTGCCTTGTTTTTCGTTTTCCTCCCTCTAACTTTTCTTTACTGTCTGTCTTCCTTAACAGAGTGTGAACTCCATGAGGGCAGGAATTTTGTCCGTCTTGTTCCTTAGGCCTGGAAGAGCAAGTGGCAGGTGGAGGGCCCCCAAAAGCATTCTCCAGACCAACAGGTGGATGGGATCGTCCCTGCTGTCACTATCATCTCATTCTATTGGCACTGGGAAACTGCAGCTGGAGCTGCAGAACTGGAAAAGGCCAGTAGGAGCAAGAGCTGAATCCAGTCCCTCAACAGTTGTGCTTGCTAGTTCTGCCCAGGAAGGTGTGAGAAGCCATCTGGTCTCTGGAAAACCCTTCCCCAAGAACATTTCCTTCCTTTGCTGGAGAATTCCTCTATTGATGGGACAAATAGTTTTGTTTCTGCTCCACGATAACAAGAGCTAAAGAATCCATACCCAGTTAAAACATAAGGAGGTAGAAATAATGCAGATTGTTTCTTGAACATGGAGGGAACGAAGCTGGTGTATGGATTGAGGGTGACAAGGATGCTGGGAAAGGAGACAGAGGCATGCAGAAGACCTCCTCTGGCACAGTGATGAACTTAGAATAGCTTACTATTTTAAGAAAATTTTCCACTTAGATCAACCCTTGAGCTCTGCTGGAAATCATCTCATGAGAATCCTTTCTGATACCCACTGTGGGACTTATTACTAATGAAATTGCGTGATCAAAGCTTATGAATGACTGACTTAAAATTCATTAGAACATCTTCAAAATCAGCTCCCTTGGGAGGAAAGGTTAAGGTGGGACAACAGCTTCGGTACTGAAGCTGTGTATTGGAACCCAGAGCCTGTTTGGTCTTGGCAGAGACTGTCTCATCGGGCTCCCTGGGATGCTGTGGTGGCTGGGCAGCAGGGAAGTCTTTACCTTTGCATTCCTCAGCCTCTTCTTCATAGTAAGTTCCCTCTGGACATTGGTCTACGCACAGCCCGTCGTAGAGGAGCATGGAGGTGTCGGCACAGAGCTCGCAGTCATCCGCCTTGGGGCCGCTGCACTTCAGGCAGTCTTCGTGACAGGGGATGCACTTTTGCAAGTCGGGGTAGAAGCCCCGGGGACAGGATGGATGGCACGTGCCGTCAAGCAGGAAGAAGTCAGGCAAGCACTCTGGGGGGAGGAAGAGGCAGCACGTTATGCCCACAAGGTCGGAGAAAGGAATTCATTACCTTTGCACGGGGCTAGCCGATTTCTCTCCCCTCTGATTCATTTGACCTCCGTATACAGCTGCCCCACCCCTGCCCTACCAGGGCACATTTTCAATGCCTATCAAGCCCTGCTTTGGGAGCAGGAGGCCCCACCCGGTGGTCTGTTAGCCGACACTGGATTTGTGTGCTGAAATTATCTTCACCCCTGAGACACAAAGGCTGCAGGTACTGTTCAGAAAATCTGAGCAATATCTGTCAGATATTTGAAACTGCATCAAGCACCTCAGAGTCTATTTCATATAAAAAGCAGTTTGACAATTATTAAATTAATTTTTCATTCATTAGTTGAGTAGACCAGTGCATTGTGGGTTTATTTTCTTCACGTTCCTTTGCTTATTTTAGGGGGACTCGTGGTTACAGCAAAAGAATCATTGGAGAGGACAGCACCAGGCAAGTGAGTCTGTCTTAAGAGGAAATTGCATAGCCTTTCTTGGGAAAAGAGAAAATTTCAGAGGAAAAGAAGCTTGTTCATAGCCAGGGTGCTATTCTCAGTCTTACAGTTGCCCGGACTTTTCTTTTTTATAACAATTGTATTTCTGCAGCTACCTCCCTCTTTTGTTGTTTATTATGATGCTCACCTGTAAGATTCTGTGCTCCGAGTGGAGACTTTGGGTACTTACCGGCATCTTTCGCACCTAGGACAGTGCTTGGCACACACTCCCTGTGTGTCTGTGTGTGTAAGAAACTGTGTTTGTCGTGGCTTGCAGGATGCGTACTGGAAAGTGTGTATCTTACCCTTAATTTCTTCAATGGTGGCATGGAGATGGATAGACTTAGTAAAGGAAGAGATGGGTGATTCTCAGGGATCCCCCTCCACACTCCAGCCTTACCTTTGCACATCTTCTCGTGGATGCAGTCCTGACACTGCTCAGGGCAGGGCTGGCACACCCCCGCCACAGCCACATGCCTCTCGGGGCAGGTTTCCATGCACACTCCGTGGGCCAGGACAAAGCCTCCTTCACACGAACGACAGTTGGTGGCGTTTCCTTCACAGGTTCTGCACAGAGGGCTGCAGTGTTCACAGGAGCCATCTTTGGCATAAAAGCCCCTGTGTTCAAAGCAGAGAACAAGGGAGAAGCTGGTCAAGGAGAGGCTCAGTTTCCACCAAGTGCAGACTGAACCCTGAGGGCTGCCGTAGTTGTCAAACAAGTGAGTCTGGCAGACTGGGGATGGGTACTTGAAAGAACTGCATGTACCACAAACACAGACCAATTAAGAAAAAGGACATGTAGGCAAATACAACTGCAGGGATTGGTGTGCTCCTTATGAATTTTATTTATTTAAAAAACAACAGTTGTTAATTTGTACCTAATTTAGTTATCTTCTGATTCCTCTATTTCTATTTCTCTATTTATGCTCTAATTAAGATTACTTTTTTCTTTTTATAGTCTTATTTTACAGTCATCTGGAGATGCCAAAGGTTGTACACAGGTTCTATGCAAATACTTGGCCGTTTCATATAAGCGACTTTGGCTGTGGAGGATCGTAGAACCCACCCTCTGAGGGTACCAAGGAATCTCTGTAGTTTCTGGACACTAAAGAAGAGCAAATCTACACAGAAACTGAACACATGCAGCATGGGAAAATCTTCACACTTTTTTAGCGAGACCCAGAGGATCAAAGATGAAATACTGAAATGAAAGGCACAGATTCAAGCAAAAAGGAAAAAGAAACCAATGGAAGATTACTGTTAACTCAAAAATAAGTGAGTATCAGAAGCTGCTGGGAGGCAGACAGACACAACATGCAAACATTTCTTGGGATAGTTTTGGGTTCGCAGCACAGTTGACAGGAGGTTGCAGAGATTTTTCATGCTCTCACTACATATGCAGACTCCTCCATGATCAACCACTCCCACTGGAGTGGTCCATTTGTGACAACTGGTCAACCCACATTGACACACACACACACACACACACACACACACACACACACACACACACACTGTCAGGTAGGTTTCACTAGGGCCCACTCTTGGGCTGCACATTCTATGGTTCAGATAAATGTGTAATGAATGTGCCACCATTATAGTACCATGCAGAGTAATTTCATTGCCTTAAAATCCTCTGTGCTCAGCCTAATAATCTCTTTCTCCCCAGTAACCTCTTTTTCTGTCTCTAGTTTTTCAGAATGTCAGGTCATGGGTAGAATCATATAGCATGTATGTAGCCTTTTCAGACTGGCTTCTTTCACTTTGTAATGTGCATTCAAGGAACCACCTTGCTTTTTCATGGCTTGACAGCTCATTTCTTTTTAGTGTTGAATAATATTCTGCTGTCTGGTGTTAAAAACAATCGAATGAGAGGCTATTAGGCTGAGACAGCAGCTCGAGCACTTGTGATCCCATGCAAACAAATGGAAACCAATGTAAACAGTAAAAGGACCTCAAGTGTAACCAGTCAGAAACCACAAAGTAACCTCTAACTAGGAGCTTCCCCTTTTAACCAGTTAAACATATATTTTTTGCCTCATTTCCATGAATACCTTATAAAGGTTTTCTCTTATTCCCCAGTGGGGCACTGAACCTCTTGCAGGCTGGTATTATCTAAATTATGAATCATGGAATGCTCAAATAAACTTAATATTTTAATGTGCCCCAGTTTATCTTTTAACATTAGATAACACATTTTATTTTTTCCATTCACCCACTGCTGTAGTTTGGCCTCTGAAAGACTGTATGTGAAAGGCGTGGCTCCCATGGGGATGCTTTTGGGAAATGGGGGTGCCTGGAGAGTCTTTGGGGCCTTGGGCATGTGTTTTTGAAGCAGGCCATGAAACTTCAGTCTCCTCCTCATCTCTTTTGCTTCCTGCCAAGGAGTTCATCAGCTTTTCTCTGACACATGTGCCTGTCATGATGTGCAGCCTTACCAGAGGACCCAAACCATGGGCCAACTGATCCTGAGGTAGAACTACCAAAATCATGAGCAGACAACCTTTCCTCTTTATAAAGTGACCCTCTTGGTTATGCTGTCATAGGGCTGGCAAACTGATTAAAGCACCTTATGAGTAAAGTTGCTATCATCATCTATGTGCAGTGTTTTGTGTTTTTTGTGTGAGCACAGGTTTTCAGGTCGTGTTTTCAGAGAGCCGTTTTGCTAAAATTGGCCTACTCCACAAAGATCTGTGCTGGCAGTTACAAAACTTTTTGTTAATGCTCCATTTCATTATTAATTCTATTTAAGAAGACACATAGTTCATTTGAAGGGAAATTACCACATGTGTTAAACTATTCAAGTCAAAGTACCCAGGGCCTTTGTGACAGCTGCACAACTTTATATCTTTACCTGCACTGGACAGACCCCAAGACAGTGACTTCCAGTGCTTCAAAGAAGACTCTTTTTCTTTCACCTGAGTCTCAAGTCTTCATATTTGGTGAATTTGAACACAATTTAGGTTGGTTTTGGCTGCTTTTTACATAATCACAAGAACGGTATATACTATCCTCAAACTTCTTTGCTTAGTAAACATCTACCATATTTGGAAAAGCAGTGGTCATGAAGGTTGACTGATAAGTAGTTCTGAGTACGTGGATGTTCATTCATTACAGAGTATGCTCCTATTACAGGTCTTATTGCTGATCTCGGATAGGTCACACCCTAAAGGGCCACTTCTCAGAAATAACTACAAAGCCCCCCAAGATGAACTGAAGAGTGTATGTTGCACAGATTATCTCCTTCTCATTTCTCTTGTAAATACAAAGGTGGGGGACTGCACTGTAATCAGAGCATTCTATTCAAAACAGGAAATATATTCTTGTGTTTCATGTTCTGCAGGGTTCCAAGATCATTCTGGTCTCCTTTCTACTGCTCAAAAAATACAAAATACAGCCAGGTGTGGTGGCACATGCCTGGTATCACAGCACTTGGGAGGCTGAGGCAGGAGGATCATGAGTTTGAAGCCAGTCTGGATGACATAGGGAGTTCAATGCCATTCTGGGCTACATAGTGTGACCCTGTTTCAAAAATAATCAGAGCAAAACAGAACAAAATGTTCTGACTGCCACATATCTGCATTGTTCCATTAGTTCATATAAATAGTTGAACCTAAACTTAGGGAAAAGAATAAAATGTTGAGTGGCACACTCAGCATGTTGAGTGGAAAGGCAAATGCATCCCTGCCTTGTTTTAATGCAGTGGCAATTCTCATGTGGAAAAATCCAGGAAAGAGTTGTGAAAAAATGGTAACCATTAAATAAGAAAAAAATTTTTGAGACAGGGTCTTGCTATGTAGTTCAGGCTGGCCTTGAATTCACTATGGAGCCCCGGCTAGCTTCGAACTCATGGTGATCCTCTTGTCTCAGCCTCCTGAGTGCTGGGATTACAGGCATGCGCCATCATACCTTGGCAATAAGGAATAATATTCACAACTTTGTCAATCCCACTGTGGCAAAGATTGATGGAGACACAATGACTGGCTTTAGTAAGTAGATTTTGGATCTTCACTTTTGTTCTACTACATGTGCGTGGCTGGGCACATTACCCTTTTCTTCACCTGTACAGAAGGGGAAATAACAGTGTTTGAATAAGAGGCTCTTGTGAAGATTGGTGGGATTGTACAGCTGAAGTTCCTAGCAGGGTGCACAAGCACTTGAAAGCAAGCAAGCACACAAAACTAGCTGCTTTAAAATAATTTCTTTCCCCTAGGAGCTTTTTGGCCCTCTGAGAACTAGCACTCTGAGAGGCCTAGCTTTGGCCAAGGTGAACCTGATGGATTATAAGCCTTTTGTGTGCTCAGACACCATCACTTCATCTTCAGTTAGCTCTCAGTATCAGCATCAATTCTTGATAGAAAAACAGGCTTTACCAGGCTATGCATCTACAACATCACGTGTCCGTGCTGCGTCATTATCAATTCTTACACCGAGGGGTGCTAATTACACCGTTTGCAAGGTGACGTGGGTGTGCTTGGCTTCTGTCTGCACTACATGGGATATTACTTGAGGGTAAGTAACATAGCTTATGTTTTTACTCTGCAGAGTCTTCCTCAATAATGCACATAGATAAGTAAATAGGTTATTAGAAAACACTTTTTAGGGGGTGCTACTGGGGATTGAATCCAGTGCCTTCACACTGAACTCGAGCCTTCATGACAGAGTCTTACTAAATTGACGTTTTGCACAGCCTGGGCTAGAACTTGCAAACCTCCTGCTTCAGCCTCCCAGAGTGCTGGGATTAATTACATCTCTTTTATCATAGAATTTCTTTAATCAGAAGGCAAGGGAAATATCTAATTTCTTAAAATACACACTTTATTGCTTCCCCAAATTAATTTCTTGCCTCCCTCTCCTGTTCTTCCGGTCAGTGTTCTGATTTTATTGTCAGTTCAGAGGTGAATCAAGGTTCAGCCTAAACTGCTCCTTGTGTGGTAGTCTGCCCTTGTATCTCCAGTTTTGCTTTCTGAGACTTCAGATTGGCTTTCTGGTTGATTTTGGTTAGTCAGGGTCTGAAAATATTGAATGTAAAATTGCAGAAGTAATCAGTCGATACATTTTTTTTTTTTTTTTGGTTTTGGTTTTTCTCCGGTACCAGGAACCGAACTCACGACCTTGCGCTTGCCAGGCAGGCGCTTTTGCCACTGAGCTAAATCCCCAGCCCCTCAGTCGATACATTTTAATTGTGCACCACTCTGAGTGCTGCGATGAGATCTTGCTAGGGATGTGAGTGGCCCTTTCATCCTGTGGATCTACACTGCATATGCTACCAGCCTGTTAGTAGCTATTTCTAGTACTGGATTGGCTGGGGTAGTATCTGTGGCAGCCAATGCTTGTGTTACCCTTATGTAGCAGCCTGATGCTGAGTAACAATGCCTGTGGCATTTACCTTCCTTTGTCTCATCACACACGGTGTATCATCTCATGTCATCACAAGAAGGTGAGAGCTGGGAGTGGCAGTGTATGCCTATAATCCTAGCACTCTGGGGAGCTGAGGCACCAAGACTGCAAGTTTGAGCCTAGCCTTAGAAGTGTAGCAATCGAGTGAGACCTTAAACTAAAACACATAATAAAGGCTGGGGATATAGCTCAGTGAGAAGGATCTGGATTCAATCCTCAGCTACCCCTCATCAAAAAAGAGGGAGAGAGAGAGAGAGAGAGAGAGAGAGAGAGAGAGAGAGAGAGAGGAATAGGCTGACAGACAGAGACAGATAGACAGAAGCAGAGACAGAGACAGAGACAGAGAGACATAACTTTCATTACATGATAATAATTGTTCTATTTTCAGCGTTAATCTCTTCCTTTGGCTAATTTATAAGTTACATTTTTCGTAGGTGTGTATGTATGCATGTGTGAGAAGATACAGTGCTGTTGTGGGTAGGGTTTTGCACACAGGGACGTCTTGGACTGTGTGTTCCAGGGATAAGGGCTGATGATTATAGTTCTGTTCTCGCCAGAGACAGATTTAGGGAGGTGTAAAGAACATATTCTGGTGAACGAGAGCAGAAGGGAAGTCTGAGGAAGTTTGCTTTCCTCTCAGAAGGGAGCTAAACCGAGAAATAACCCTTTCTCTGCCTCTGGTTGTGACTGCGTGGGTGGGGAGTTTGGAAGGAGGCAGCCAGCAGGAGCTCGGAGAGGACAGGCTAAGGAACAGGAGCAAGATGGAAGATCTGGGTTTCCAGGGACTTGGCTGGCTATGGAAGTAGCCAAGGCTGGATTTTCTAACTTGTTGTTATGTAAGATAAGATAATAAGGGCTGTTATCATCTGGGCCATTTTGCTTGGCATTTGTTACTCACTGCTGGAGGTTTCCTGATGTACTTTCCATTCTCCTCGCTTCTCTTTTAGGGAAGTCCTGGAGGCAGGGCCATTGGCGGGAAGACGAACGAGATTATAAACCAAGGTGGTGAGGAAACCATGGCATCAGTACACAACTAACCTGACACTCTTATTTATTTGTTATTTATGGTTCTTAACTCACCTACTTTAAATTGTAGTTCCATTTCATGGACTTACTTCTATGACGGTGGGAAAAAAAGTGGGGACACCTAATCATTAGTATGAGATAGATGAAGAAGACAACCATACACCATATCACGACCCCACGGTCGTGGTGGTCCTGGTCTGTGACGGAATAACCCACAGCCTCCGTGCGATACCCAGGTCTGTGTGAACTCACTCTGCAGGATGAAACTGTCAAATGATGTATTTCTCGGAACATCGTCCCACTGTCATGCAATGCGCAAGGCATGACCGAATTTTCACAAAGGTAAAACAGGAGGATAGAATAGCAGAGAGAAGGGGCATGTGGCTTCAGCAAGTGTCAGCTACTGTTACCCAAGCAGACGTGAGAGTCAGCACAGGGCCTCTACAAGGGTGCTCTGACCAAGAGGGAGGGCATTTTGGCAAGCAGAAAGGAATGGTTCGCAAGGTATCATGGAGACTGGACACGAGCAGGAAGCAAAGGGAAGAAGAAACTCACTCAGGGCAGCTGTGGTAGCATCTGCCTTCGTGCAGGAAGAGAGGATGGTCCAGCTGAGTGTGGCACTGCGTGCAGAGATCGTCCCCAGAGCAAGAGGCGCAGTCCTCCGCACAGTTCTCGCAGCTGCCACTCCTGACTGAGGGCCACGTGCCTTGGGGACAGGAGGAAACGCAAGCCTGGGCCAACAGGTAAGCACCTAGAAATCCGGGAAGAGGGCGGAGAAGTCACCACGCATCCTCGGGCAGTGGCGCATTCGCCACGCTGACACACCTGAGGGCTGCTTTCAGCTTTCCGGTGGGAGGTTTCCAAACTGACTGCAGGGTTAGCGGAATAGCTGGCAGGGATGCTATCTCCCAGGATGAGTGAACTGCTTAGAAGGAAGTCGAGAGCAAGGGCCTCTGACTCTGTGTCTGTCCCTTTCTTCCAACAGCGGATGCTGGTTGTGCCAGACTCCCTTCTGCCCCCTTGGTCAGCCTTGCTGATGCCCTCGCCTAGGTCTTCCAGCTGTGAGACAGCTGCGTGAACAGCTGGTTCACGGCTGCTTTCTGCCTCTCACCCTGTCTTGTGAGGAAAACAACCCAGTAGCGGCTCTTATAACTGCTTCCCCCTATAATGGACCATGCTGCTCTTCATTTAATTAAAAAACAAAACACATATTGGTGTTAAAGAAACCAATTTTAAAATCATCTGTAACTCCAAAATTCTGAGAAAATTCTTTCAGATTTTTGGTGTAGATTTTTGTATTTTATAGGATTATAATCTTGGCCCATGCATTATTTAAATTCCATGTCTTTTTTTTTCCCTTTTTTCTTTTTCTGCGCTAGTTATTGAACTCAGGGTCTTGTGCTTGCCAGGCAGGGGCTGTGCCACTGAGCTACATCCCCAGCTGCTGCATATGATTTTAAATCTTGGTCCATATATTGCTATTATTTTATCTCATAGTGCACTGCACTATTTTTTTCCTTAGCCATGGTTTACTTCCAACAGCTTAGTTGCTCAAGGTTAAAACATTAAATGGAAATTTTCAGATAGAAAAATTCATAAATCACTTTTATTACAGTATACTGTTATTTTTTATTTTATTACTTATTAATCTCATACTGTACTTAATTTATACACTAAACCTTATCATAGGGAAGTATAGGAAAAACCGTATGTGCAGGGTCCACTCCTGTCAATGGTTTCAGGCACATTCTAAGGGTCTGGGAACATCTTCCAAGGAGACAGGGGACCACTGCCACAACCATGCATGTTCTAATATGGCCTCCAATGTAACCACTAATGAGAGTGTAACATTATTTATGTGACTGCATCATGCAAATAAAACAACCTCTCGTTTCAGAGAAATTACAGCGCTTACAATGTCTTTGTGATGAAGACAGTGATGATTATTGAGCTGTTATGTTTCTGAACTTGTCCCCTCTTCTCTCTACCATAAATTCAGTACCAGTAGTGAAGCAGGAAAGACACGCAAAGCTTCCTGTCCACACTCACAATCTGTACCTTAAGGTCTCTTATTTAAGGTCATGCATTTTAAAAGAGCAAGGGAATCGTAAAGGTATCAAGTACCTACAGGCCCCACTAAATTCTCAGGCCAAGTCAGTATAACTTCACTATGCTTTTTAATTATGAAACTTTCTTCTTCACTTGAAAGCTAGTGTTTATTACTGGTTCATGTGTGGGTCCCTGGGTGTCTCCAAAGTAGCCACGGTGATGAGAATACGCTAGAATAAGGCTCTATAGACTTCTGTAAGCAAAGATGCCAACATGCAGGAGTGACAGTGAATCAGCCTGGCTACTGCCACCTTCTGTCACGTGCCACACTGACCTTTTGGACATGAAGTACACAGAGTTGCAGATCCACTGCAGGTTTTACAAGAAGGATGACAAGGCTGATGTTCTCTCAAAACATCTGTATGGGAAAGGAATAAGTCAGACTTGTCTTCCCAACGAGCTATAATGTTAGTGTTGGAAAGCCCCCCCCTTCCTGCCCAAAACAGAATCTCTTTGCTTTTACCTTAGCTAACTGTTGGCATCTGCCCATTTCCATTGTGATTTTATTAATTTTTTTATCTTTTGGAAAACATTATTCTAAGGCTAAAATATAATGTATTTATTTCATTTGCTGAGGAACCATGTTAGGCATGCATTGCCACCCAATGGAAACATTCAGTAATGTTTTTTATAAAATTTTATCATTAGTTGTGTGTATTTGCAGTGGATAATGATTACTTTCACCACGGGAGTTGGTAAATGTGCATAACACTTCTTATCCTTTTTACTTCTTGCTTCTTCATTGGTAACTGATTATCAATATTTCTTTGCAACCTCACAGGGATCAAGAACGTGGCACCTTCCAGGACAGTCTTACACACTACGGGGATAGGTGAACTAGCAAATACTGCTTCCTTCGCAGCTTCAAGCTGTGTCTGTGTCTATGTGCGTGAGCTAGCGAGCAAGTCTGAGTCTCGGGTCATCTTCTTTGTCAAGAGTCTTCAAGGGCCACTTCTCTTCACCCCGCGGTGACGGCCGAGAACACACGGTGCCTCTCATAGAGACATATTTTCTTTCTTGTTCCTTGAAAGCTAGATTACTTTACTGGTCAATGTTCGGTCCATGTGCTCTTCAGAGCAGCCACTGTGGAGTACAGTCTAAACTCATCTCGCCTTAAATTTGTCCAAAGGATGTCACACATGGAGCTGATCCGCCAGCCAGGAGCCTTCCGTACCGCCCCCTGTGGATGCACCGTTGGCTCCGCACGCACTCGATGTGCGCCCTTCTCCTTTCCTTTCCAAGAGCATCTGCCCCGTGGGCTTTTCCAGGACGCCCCTCTCCAGCAATACGTGGCCGTTTCAGCGGCGGAGAGGCCTGCGTGCCCGCCTCCGTCCGCGCTGAGGTGAGCACTCAGCCCCGAGCCCCGCAAGCACGCTGGCTCTGGCTCGCACGGGAGAGCTGGAAATAGAAGTCTCCGCACACAACAGGCGATCTGAGCGACGCGACTCGCAGGCCGCGGTTGGTGTCTACCGTTCCCTGTTCCTCTCTTCCTCGTCTCCGGTCCGCGTCTCCCTTCCGCTCTTCCTGGGGCTTGCTGGGTGGAGAGGGCTCTCCAGTCACACCTGCCTTTAGATCCCAGCCGGGCCACTTGTCCGCAGGGTAACTATGGCTACAGCGATTAAGTTCTCGCCCTGCTTTCGGCCTCCAGAGTGGGAGACACGGTTCTTTCCATCCAGGGGCGTCTGAAGGCCGAAAGAGACAATGCGTGCAAAGTGCTCCACGCAGAGGCTCAGTCAGGCGCTCCATCTGCCGGCTCTCCTTCCCAGCCCTTGCGAGCACCTCCCTTCTGCCGCGCTCCTACCTGACCAGAGGGCAGGTGAAGTTTCTGTGATGGCACTTTACGCGTAAACGGATAGATACAGGTAGGTAGGTGTGGATGCGGGTATGAGGGTGCACACACACACACACACACACACACAATACATATACAGAATACACATGCAAACATAATGTATGCATACATGCACACACACACAGACACACAGACACAGACACACACACACACACCATCGCCCAGGCTGCCATGCTGTGTTTTTCCTACTTTGGAGAGAAAATTTCACTCTGGCTTTTCAGTTTACGACAAAAGCTGAAGACTGGTGTACCGCCAGCCCCAGGAGGGGATCTGCTAACAGCTCAGCCTCACACGCAGCCACACTGGCCACGGAGTTCATGCAAAAGTGGTCCCTCAGTACGACAGATTCTGTCCCCGAAGGCCCCTTTTCACCTGACAATGTCACTTAGCTCACAAGAGAAGGCAGCAGAAAGCGACCAGTGAAGGGGCTTGCTGAGTGGGTGAGAGATGTTGTTTAAAGAATGATAGTCTAGTAATATTCACCAGAGTGAGCACCTCGAAACTCCACTGTGTTCAGGGCACTGGCTGATTTTCTTTTGATCTATTTTTTGTACTAAAAAGTCCTATGTACAAATACATTGGTTTTAATTAATTTTCATATTTATTGAAAGTGTATACTTACACATACACATGTATTCATAATTGCATATATCTTTCATTTTAGCTATATTTTACACATAAAATCCACATGGAATAATGCAATGTTCCCTTATGCCCACCAGAGGGAGCGCTGCACAAGCAATTCACAACAATTTTCATTCCCCAGCTGTAGTTATAAAAGATTAGTTAACCTGGACAAGTAAGTAAACTTTGACCTTAATCATTCTTTCCCTTCCTACCCATTCCAGAAATTCTACACTGGACAGGACTTAAAAAGGGAAAGGAAAGAAAGAAAAAGAAATGTCTTTGACCAAGAAAGTACAGTGTCCATCCTTCAGAAGTGGCTGTAGTTAAACCACATAAGTGACTATCGCTAAAGCCAGGGGTTCTTTCCATTCCATTTATTTATTTCACTACTTATAGAATAGTCACAAGGTTCAACATGGATGGAAGGTGTATACTGTGAAATCTCCCAGTCTTTCTCCATTCTTTTAAATACAAACTTTATCCATAGTTTCTCACTTCTTTCATCCATCTATCCATCCATCCACACCTTCATTTATTTCATTTGCAATGCTACAGATTGAAGCCATGGCTTGCTACATGCTAGGCAAATGTTCTATCACTGAGCTACATCTCCAGTCCCCCAACCCTTTTTAAAATTTTGAGACAGAGTCTTGCTAAGTTTCCTAGATTGGCCTCAGATTTGTGATCCTCCTGCCTCAGCCTCTGCAGGAGCTTTGATACAGACATGCCCCATTGCACCTGGCTCTAAGAAGGTCTTTTGGATAGCTTTTCCCAGGTTTAATGCTGACCACACCTGGGATGTCCTTGCACCTTGCAGAAATCCCCACTGCTGGGCTTCCTAGTTTCCCTCAGTGAGCACCCACTGACACTTGCTTTTGGCCTCTCCTTCCCGACTGCTCTCTTAGGACTTCACCAACCCCACTGCCTGGCCCCCGGCATCCCGGCCGGCTTTCTACACAGCAGAGTCTGTCTCGGCGGTGATGGGGTCCTCCCTGCTTCCCTGTTACCTCTTTTGATATGAACTTTCCACCTTCGTCGCTCCTGCAGCAGCTTCTTCACCAAAGATGGGTTTGCAGTAGACACAGCTTCTTTTTATTAAAAAAAATAAAGTGTTTTTTAATGCCAAAAAGATAAAGAAGATCAACTTCACCTACAACCCTACCACCCAGAATTGGCCGATGTGTCTACTTTGTGCACAGACTTTCCATCTTTATACGGAACAGGTGGGTGTAATTACAAATACATGTGTCATCATTTACACACTAACTCTGTACCACGTCCAGCATTGTATACCTTACAGGAATGTTCCTTTAAAATTCCTTGCAAGCATCATTTTTAATGGTTTGTAAATTTTTTTTGTATGAATCGTAATCCATTTTCTCTTACATTTTTGGATTGGCCCCTCATTTTGGTTGTTTTATGATCATGTATAAAGCTGTTATCAGCACTTCTGTGAGCATACATGCTTGGTAAGTCAGGACTCTGCCTGGCTCTTTATCATCCCAAATCATCCTTATTTGCTGCCTTTTTTTTTACCATTTTCCCCAGACCCTGTGTGATAGTTTAGGTCCCTCAATTGCTTCCTTTTATGAGACAAGGAATGCTACTTTGAAAGTGAACTGAGGTGTGAGGTGTTAAAATGGATCAGGCCGAAGGTCTAGGGAATAGAATAGCATTTAAAGTGTCGTGTATGCTCGGGAAGATACAGGTGTACCCTCTCATTTCATTCTTGAAACAATTCTCTGTGAAGCAGTTTCCTACTTTCATTTTATAGATGAGGAAACTGAGGCTCAGAGCAGAAGAGAACCTTGCTCAAGATCACGTTGCTGGGAAATAGCAGAGCCGGGAGTAGAGTTCAGGTCTGCCTAACCCTAGAGTTATTCTTTTCTTCGCGGTGCTGGGGATTGAATGCCGGGCCTTGTGCGTGTGAGGCAAGTGCTCCACCACTGAGCTGCACTCCCAGCCCCTGGACCTGCCTAACTGTAAAACCCACCTCCACTAGAGAGATATTTTTCAGTAATTTACTTGGATTTTAAAGTAGCTTGTGAGAGGCCAAAGCAATGATGTGCTGGTAAAACAGCCTTCTAGAAAAAATAAGCTCAATTTGTAATGTTGCCAGTGTCTGTAGTGTAAAGGACTCCTGACTTAGCTGATTTCTGTCACCAGGAGCTTGGCAAACCATGCACAAAATTCCTGGATGTTTAATGATCAGTTTGAGTCATTACAAGTGGTTCCTTTCACGTCTTCCCATCCATACATAGAGGGATAAAGTGCTTCTAAAAGTTAGATTTCTATGAGAGCTTCAACGTTTTAAAGTGCAGTTATTATCATGCAAGATGTCTCCTCACAATGAAGGTGGCTTGCAGCCTGCCCACGTGCCTGGCTCCAGTATTTGTCAATGACTCTGGGATTCTAGGAGCAAAGATCAGAAGATAGGCTGGTGATATATTGTTAAGATGTGATTAACAATAAAAAGTTAGTTCATCACGTCTGTGTTTTGTAGATTGGATTCTCACTGGAATATGTAACTGGAGGCTGCTACCCCATAGTTTCAATCAGTGGTGCAATAGGTGTGTAGGGGTTTTTTCAGGAATCACCCCTAGGAATTCACAGCTCTGCTGGGGGAAAGTCACTTAAGAAAATCCTGTGCTTTCCCAGTAACAGAGGAAACCACTTCTACCACAGCAATGGCTCCAGAACACTGGCTGAAGCCGCTTTCTTCTCCCAGTGCCGTGGCCTGCTGCCCCTGGGCATTTCCCCCGATGCCGCCTGGTGTGAGGCCCGCGTCCCTGCTGGAGATGCTTATGGTTTGTTTAGTATTAGTTTTATTTCTGCCACTTTGAGACCCCATACTAAGTCACCTTCACAATACATTAGTGATTAGGGCAGGGGCTTTGGCAATGGTCTACATGTTTGTGCGGTGACATTGGTGGCTGGCAGGGCAGAGGGTTGAGGGGCTGCCTTCGCAGGTTGCTTGGCCTTGGCTGGTCTGGTGTGTGCCACAGTCCTCGCCCTTGGGCTAGGATGGGAGCCCTCCCCACTCTCTTGGTCGTGGCAGAAGAATGCTGGCTCTTCTGCCGCTGCCCTTGTCTAATCCTCATTATCCACAGTATCAAAACAGGAGTTCGGGAACTCTAGCTGCATCTTTATTTCAGAGGTATTTTCCCAGCCTGCGCCGACCCATGCTTGTGGGGTGCGTGGTGATCTTTGAATGTGAATGTGATCCGATTGTTTCCATTGGGAGGCGTCATGGTGATGAAATGAAATGAAGTTTGCTTCTTTCCTACCTGAATCTGAATCTATGGTTAAAATGAAAACTGAAACCAGCAAAATCCTTGCTTGTGCCACCTAGGCAGTGGCATGCTCAGAGAAATGCACCGTAATTTGTCTGGGCTTCTTCTAAATCGGCCCAGAATGACCGCAATCTGCTTTCCATCATCCAAGAGGTGTGGCTCATTAGTGCTCGCTCTCCGCGCCCTGCACTCTCCTGCTGCACTCCTGACCTTGTTCTTAAGGAGAAGGGAGCAGGAGACAGATGTGGGCATGGGCTCTGATACCCAAGGCTTTCTGGAATGCATCTCCCCTTTACCATCCACTTCAGGGCTTAAAGTCTGCTAGGGAAGCTGAGCTGCGGCGTCACCTTGCTTTGTGAGTAAGCGAGGTTTTCTCTTTGCTAATGCTCTGCCTGTCTTATTTCATAGATCATAGAAATGGAAAAGTGCAGCTATGTCATTGCCTTTATTGCTTTTGTCCAGCCATGAGAAACATTCTCATCTGCTTCTCGCATCCTTATTAGTGTGAAAGCCCCAAATGGAATAAATCCTCTCTCTCTTCAGAAAACACAGCGTGGTGGGTGCGGTGCCTCAATAAAGGGGAACAATCAAAGTCTGATTTTTGCCTGCAAAATGCGTAGTCCAGTTGAAAAGACGAGTAATCGTGTGGGGGATCAAGCCTGCCCCAACTCTTGGCTCTCTGGGTCCGCTCATCATCTGGACGCCAGATAAAATACAGATGTTCTCAGCGAGAAACACAGCACCAGGCCATTTCTCTTTTGGCTGGCGCTGCCTCTCAAATGCCTGAATGCCAGACAAACTCATTTTCAGCATTTTGGTTCAGCTATAATTCATGGAAGATCTCCCAATCTGGGTCGAATACTTTTCTTTCTTGCTGTGGCTCTGAATCACGCCCCGAGTGCTCCGCGGCTTCTGGCTTCGGGATGGTTGAGCTGCTCTTTAAGTCTATGTGCAAAACTTACAGCAGACAGCAGGGGTGGACAGCCCCCCTCTGCAGCATCCGAGACCACTGTCCTCCCTGCCCTGTCCCACTGGGAGCCCTTTGGGGACCTGCCCTGTGTGGGCTCCTTCAGCGGCCATCACTCTGCACTGCAGTGATCCCGGAAAGGATCCTTGCCCCATATCAAATGGACAGCACCTTTCGTTTTTGTGAGTGTTCCTGCGTAGAATGCACGTCTGATTTCTTCCAGGAGGAAGAGGAATTTGTTTTGTGACCACCGGGGACATGCAGAGGTCACGGAAAGCCGGTGACTGCCTTGTAAGGGAATGCATAACCTAGGTGCAGAGGTGAGGCCGAGGCTCAAGGCTCGGGAGGAGGAGACCTGTGGGTCCACCGCAGCAGCTGGGCTTCTCCTGCCCCACCCGCCCTGTCTGCAGCAGGGCAGCAGCATCCAGAAGGGAGTGCGGCTGCCAGTGAGCTCTAATTCAGCCCGCAGGGCCGTCTGCTTTAGTGCAGGTTCCTGTACCCTGGGTCTAACCGGAAGCTTCCCTATCCAGTGTGAAGAGACCCATGCGCTTATAGAATGAGAGAAATTCTCGTTTTCCTCCTCTGTCTCTCTCTCTCTCTCCTCCCCTTCTTTCTCCTTCCTCCCTCCCTCTCTCCCTTCCTTTTGTGCTGGAGGAGCAAACCCAGGACCTAAATGCTATACCACCAAAGCTACATCTCCCACCACATTATGAGATTTTTTTTTTTTTAAAGAAAATGGCAATTGAGTCATTTCCTCTCTAAGACCTTCTTCAGGCTTGGGGGCACCTAACCCAGGTAGAAACTCAGGTGGCCAGGCCAGTCATAAAATGCTCTTTGGCTGGATGTGGTGGTAAACTCCTATAATCCCAGCACTCAGGAGGTTGAGACAGGAGGATTATTGTGAGTTTGAGGCCAGTCTGAACTATGTAGTGAGACCCTATCTCAAAACAAAACAAAACAACACAAAACAAACAAATGAATCAATAAATAAAGTGCCCTTTGGAGCTGGGTGTGGTACCACACACATGTAATCCTAGCTACTCAAGAGGCAGAGGCAGGAGGATCTCAAGTTCAAGGCCAGCCTGGGCAACTTAAGAAACTCTCTCAGAATAAAACAAAGTGGGCTGGAGATGTAGCTCAGTGCAAGAGTGCTTGCCTAGCATGTGTGAGACCCTGGGTTTAAACCCCAGCATCACAAAACAAAACAAACACCAAATAAATAAATAGCCCTTCAGGCGACCCCCCCCCCAATACCAGCCCCACTTTCTTCACCTCTCCCACTGCCCACCCCTCCCCCAGCAGCCCACATGTGATTGTTCCATGGCTGTGTTTCTCTGCCCAGCCTTCTTCCGCTGGAGAATTTGAAGCACAGGGGCTGCAGAACAAGCGGGCCGCGCGAGGCTGCGGAGGGGCCCTGCGTGGAACCTACCCTTCAGGGCCTGTGGCTCGCACGTCCCGCGCAGCAGCCTCAGTCCTGCCCGGCAGCTGCTGCAGTCGTCCCGGCCCGGGCCCACGCAGCTCTCGCAGGCTGGGTGGCAGGGCTCGCACGTGCCCACGGCGGGGTCTCCGTAGAAGCCGGTGTCACACGCGCGCACACAGCGGCCACCTCGGGAGAAAGCGGGGACGCGTGAAGGCGGGGCTCTGGCCGGCCTCGCACTGGCTCTGTGTACAAGGCCACGCTCAAAGCCGCCGCGGCGCACCTCCACCGAGCTTTGGGGTGTTTGTTTTTAAAGAAACCAGGATGGCTGTAGCATATTTCGGTCACGGAACATGACTATCAGCTTAAAGGATCAGGAGCTTAGCATCCTGGAAGCCTTGAAGCACTGCAAATAAAATGAGTCTCTGGAGAGACCCACTGGGCTCGCTGTCTACCTCCCTCTCTCCACCACCCAAGGGGTGGCGCCGCCCTCCACCTGGAGGCTCACGGCCTAGGGGCTTGCTTGGCACCTAAGACCTCGTTCACCTCTGCAGTGCTCGGGAGTTTAGAACACGGATCAAAGCCCCAAGCAAAGGGTCGTGGTTCTGAATATTCAATTCCCAAACATTTCTCTTGAGGCCCCTTTTACTCAACTCGCTCTTGTTTCCACCAGCTTGAGATATTTGAGATTCGTTAAATATGAGCTATGCTTCAGGAAGACATGCAGAAGAAAGTAGTCCTAGCTGATATTTATTTTCAAGCCAAATTAAAATTCCTCCCCGGGCCAGAGGCGCCAGCAAGGAAGAAGCCGAAGCCATCCTGAGGAGCGCTCCAGCGCCTGCCAGGCCGCAGGTGCCCAGCCTCGCTCACCTGTCCCCTTCCTGCGCGACTGCCTCCACTTACCCAGGAGGAAGAAGCTCTCTTCACACCAGAAGCACTCATTTCGGTCGCAGCTGCCACAGTTAGCGCTGCAGGCTCTGCACTCCCGCTCCTCAGCGAAGGTCTTCTCGGGACAGGCTTTGTAACAGCGGTGCTCAAACCTGGAGGGAAGTGAGGTGCAGAATGAGGTGCGCCTGCGCTTTCCTAGAGCACTTCGCCATCTCCGCATTCACATCTGCGCGCAGGTGGTGTAGCCCCAGGTGCTTGGCTTCCAGCCGAGGAAACTTGCTTTTGCCCTGGGTGCCCTGTTATACCAAGTCCTTCACCTTTGAAGACTCAGCGGGAGTGAGGGGCTGGGGCTGAGGACGGCACCGATACTTGTGCCAAGCAGCAGCTTAGTGGAATCTTTGTCCAAGCCCCATAGGATAGATATTTTGTTAATTTCTTGATGTGGAGACCAAAGCTCAAGGGCAAAATGTTCAAGATTCACTTAAAGGGGGACGAAGATTTAAAGCAAAGCCTGTGTGGAGAGATAGTATGTGATTTGCTGATAGCAGCTGGCACTTAGAAGGGCTGAGAAACTCAGCACTGAGTTCCAGCAGCTTCTTCAGATATTAGCAACCAGATTACTGACAACAGTGAAGGGCCTTCGCTTTTATAGGCATATGCAGTATATATATATATATGTATATACAGAGCCAGCCGAAAATGTGTTCACACTCATCAACAGTTCGCCAAACTAATAAATGTCCGGAAGCTCATGGCCACCACTGTGAGCACCTCTTGTAACTGTAGAGGCCAAAGGTAACTTGTATTCATCTGACGATGTCTCCATAAATTTAGTATTAAAATACTTCTACAAGGTTTTCTTTTCCTGATGTATGCACATTTTGGCAAATTCCACATGAGACACACACACACATACATCACATATATACACATATATGTATATGTGCATTGCATAAGTTCCTACATTTATTACCCGTTATTCCCATCATACAGTCAAGTGTTGTAATTCAGACTCTACTGAACTGCCGGCTCATTTGAAGGAAGAGTGGAATCAAGTTGTTTCTTGCGCTTTGATAAATTTCAAAGCATCGCTGAGCTGCCAGGGGAAATGTCTGCATATCTTGCTGAAAGGCTATTGTACAGCACTTGTTAGCTGTATTCAAAAGCACTAAATAGTCTAACGGGGGATAAATGCACGCTTCTTGAGACAAGTAAGCCGGCTTTGTGACACACACCTCCCTTACTGAGCTGGTGGGGCTGCTCCCCGCTCCCCACAGGTGTTCTCAGGGGAGAACAGAAGCAGGTGCAGAAGCAGGTGTGTGGGTGTTCAGGTGTCAAATGCAGAAGCAGTCAGGGGTAAACTCAGACTGGAGGGATGCCTGCAGTAAGAGGGACAGCGGGCGAGTTCCTCACCCACTTCTGCATGGTCTTTATGTTTTGGAAGCTTGCAGCGCTCTCCTTCCTCAGTTCTTCAAGGAACATTTTGTGCCCCCGGTCCTGTGACCTCACCATCAAACACGTTCACTTCTGCTTGGACGTGGCATGCAGGCAGCAGGCTGCATCAGCGTCCACCATGAAAATGCTGACAAGTGGCTTTGTGTTTATTAAAGGTCACCTGGGCTATCTTAAACTAATCAGGCCTGGGGCTTCTCGTGGACCTTTCTTCCTCTGTTTCAGTGGAACAGTCATTTAACTGAGTGGGGCCGGAGGAATATGATGTAGAGAAATGGTCAGCAAGAGAATCACAGCCATTCGAGAAAAGTTGGACTAAAACCGGAAGATCAGGTACAGGTTGAGCATCTCTAATTTGAAAGTCCAAACTGTGAAGGGCACCCAAACTCAAAACTTTGTGAGCACCGATATGGACGCTGTTGGTGCCATTCAACTTTGATTTATGCACAAAATCATTACAAATACTGAATAAAATTACATCCAGGCTAAGAGTATATGCTGGGTATGAAACATAAGGAATTTTGTGTGTAGACTTGAGTCTCATCCCCAAGATATCTCATCAATGTATATGAAATATTCAAAAATTTAAAAAACTAAAATTGTGTGTGTGTGTGTGTGTGTGTGGTACTGGGGATTGAACACGGGCTTTCTTATTCAGCTATATCTCCAGCCCCATTTTCATGTTTTATTTTGGGTCATGGTCCTGCTAAGTTGCTAAGTAGCCCAGGCTATGTTCAAACTTTCAATCCTCCTGCCTCAGCCTCCCAGAGCGCTGGGATTACAGGTGCGCACTACCATGCATGGCTTCTTGCAATCTTGATAAAGGATGAAGGGGAAAAATGTGGAACTTATATATCACATAAGTCCTCCAGCTGGGGAAGGATCAGGTAGCAGGCGCCTTATTCAGGACCCGCCTGTCCCTTCGTTTCCTTCCTTTTCTTAGTTTTTCTTACAGGATAAGAAACATTATAAGCTGGAGAGGAGACTAGAATGGGAAGGGAGGTGACAATGAAATGTTCAGGCCTGGACTTGATAGGTTTTTACTAGAAATTGATAGGTTTTTACTAGAAAACATTGGAGCTGATGGCTATGCACGGTTCATTTAACCTAGAGGCATGCATCTCTCATCATCCAGGGGATGAGTAGGAGCTAATGTAGTACCTGGCATCCCTGAGTGTCGGGCTCTGTTTAAGGACAAGGTGTCAATGCAGACATTTGGAAATAGCTTGCCTGGGGTTGGGTGTTTTATTAAAATCCATCCGTAAACAGCGATGCTGAACCTTGGAAACCTGTGGCAAGATTCCTAGACACCAGTGTCAGGCTGGATGCCTTCCAGGACCAAGAAAAAGAAGGATCCTTTCGAGGCAAGAAAACAGCTGGGCTCTTATTGCGAAATCCAAGAGTTGCTCATTAATAGCCCATAGGACGTGGTTGCTTCAGGCTGCAGGGCCTCTCTGCTTTAAGATTTAAGATTAAGTCAGGAAAGCTTACACTGCAGAGAAGTTAGGGTCGTGAAGAAAGAAGGCCAGACTTACATGCGATACCCCTCGGCGCATGAGGCACAAGTTCCTGGGTCATCTGGAAAAAAATTAAAAGAAGGAAAAATTATAATCATCAAGAGTTTGTTATTTGGAACAAGAGGACTTTGGAAAAGTTGTGGCTTAAGATAAATGACCTTTCAAGACAGTTTTATGAAATATACTGTCCAGCAATGATATTAGAACAGATTGCACCATTTTTAATTAGTAACAAGAAGTACACTATAGTTTGTCTTTATCCAGGGTAATAAAACAAGAGTTCTTATAACTGTGTGGCCCCAACTTTCAAGAAAGAATAAGCCCAAGCTACTGGGTCTTCAAATTACAGATCACTTGCCCTGCACAGTATGAACTGTCTGATCTCAGGGGTGGGGATGTAGCTCAGGGGTACAGCGCATGCCTAGCATGTGCTTCTCAGCTTCGAAAACAAACAAAAAACAATAACAACAAAATCAGTGTTGCGGTAGCGATGCCACACATGTAGCACAGAAACATTTTCCCCCTTTGTTCGGCAGTGTTGGCTGTTGTTGTGGATCAAACCCAGGGCCTTGGGCATGTTAGGCAAGTGCCCTACTACTAAGGTGTATCCCCACCCCTACACTTGAGCATTTGAAAGGGGCTAAAAGCTTCTGGCCTTGACCTTCTGGTTTTCATTGAGGCCCTTTGAAATCTGGACAACTTAGGGGCTGGGGGTTTAGCTCAGCGGCAAAGCGCCTGCCTGGCACGCGCTAGGTCGTGAGTTCGGTTCCCGGTACCGGAGAAAAACAAAACAAAAAAACAAACAAAAAAAAAGAAATCTGGACAACTTTTTCCCAATACAAGTACTCACTTTGTGTCCTGCACTTCACAACCCTCTTCAAGAAACTGCTCAGTTTTCATTAAGAGTAACAAGTCAGTGTAGTTCTGTTGGCCCAGCTTTGTCCTGTAGCTTTTACAGGACTTAACGGCAGGGACAGGAATGTGAGAGTCGCCATCTCTGTCTGTCATACCTCCCCAACCCTGCCCAGAAGAACCATTTTCAGATCTGATTATTAAGAGAATTCTATCACTTTCTCTGGCACATGATTCTTGATACTCTGGTAGGTCCTTCCTGGGATCTTCTCTGCAACCATCTTAATAATAAATGAAAAATAACTGCTCTTCTTTAAACAATTCTTCTTGGTAGGTAGAGATTTTGTCACTTTTAACTTTATTTAAACTACATAAAACTATGGCTTTGGAACTTTGTTCGCAACTGTTCTTTCTCATTGGTTCTGGGCTCCTTTCTGGTTTTCTGCATTTTGGAACAAAGCAAACCTCACCCAAGTCTTCAGCCCAACATTGTCTTGGTAAGAGGATTCACGTAATACACCAAAAAGTCACAGTGGGAAGACTTCTGGAAGAGGCTCTTCCACTTACACAGGGGTCCTCAGAATTCTCTGGAAAGAGCTTGCTGATGGAGCAGAGGAACAGGGCCTGGCCCAGAAATTGCTCCACCTGTTTCTAGTTTAAAGTTTTAACCAGGACTTAAGTGCCTTATGAACTTGCAGAAATATCACTCTACTTTCTGGCCACTGCTTTCTGCATGTGGACAATGAACTGGCTGGACAAGAAGCCAGACTCCAAACTGAGACTAGTAGGAGTTAGGAAACTATGGTCCACCGCAGGCCCAAATCCAGCATTGTCAGTTCATTGACATAGCACGCATGAAATACTTTTCTATTTCAGCATCCGCATTAAGTAGTTGCAACAAATTCTAAAATAGTACTATTGGCTATTTTACAGAAAAGTGACTGACCCTACCAGTAGCACTATCAGCTCATGACTTTGTCATGCTCACCTTTGTTAGGTGACACAGGTTCAAATATAGTTGAACAGATGGTCCCAGAATTCCTCTTAGGACAGAAGCATCTATACTTGGGGAAACACCCTGTTAAACTACTTGGGGTAGAAATTTACTTGGAAGGGTTGAATGAGAGCCAGGACAGCCAAGAAGATACACAGAACCTTGTGCAGGAGGCCATGATTTGTTCACGGGAGGAAACTGGCTTTTAATGTCTGGGTCAACATGGTTTATAATGAGGTGACGAAAATAGGACAGTGAAATGAACCAAAAACCAGCCTAACTAAGTGGAACCAGGAATCTGAAGCTAGAGCCGCTCATGAGAAAGAAAAGCTCCCCCACATTCTTAGAAATTCTGGGGAGGTTTTATGCTTCTGAATTCTGTGGATTGGGATCTAAATCTACACTGAGGGAGCAGAGACCCCAGTGGACACCAGGGTTTCATGAGGCTAGTTTACTTCCCACTGTGAGTCTATTTTTTGCATCTATATTCTTCTTAGTTCTCCTAAGTAACTTGTTACCACTCAGCTTATGTCTGGGAAGCTCACACTTCTCTGCCTGTCCCCAGTGAACATATCTGACTCTGACAGTTTTGCTAATTTGGCAAGGGCTGGGGAGATTCTAATCCCGTTCTCCAATGCTCTGGTCATCCCTCCCATCTAGGAACTTAACGAGCTTGCTCTCTGCTCCTTTAAGCGGGGCACTGATGAAAATGTTAAACAGAACCAAGCCTCAGAAATGTGCATACCAAAGTGATCTCGGGTTCAGGGACTTTTCCAGCCCAGTTGCACAGTGAATTTGGTACTTTAACAGCAGTTTGCACACATGAATAATGCATAGACCAAGAAGTGCTTTAAAACAGCTTACAAATGCCATTAGTGTCTCTCATGATTAGCAGTTGTTCTAAAAAATGAGAATTATTTAAAATTTTTTTTCCACCCCAAAAGATCCACAAGTCAAATGCCAACTAAATGGATTTAGCTTGACTGCTGAGATGCCGGTGTTATAGGATTAAGGAAGAAGGTAACCATCCCAAGCCTAGAAGTGGCCTCTAAGTCAATTTGGCATCCAGAGAGCAAGGAGAGGTGGCTTACAGAGAAAGATGGACTCTCCTGGCTCCTAGTATGTGTGCAGGGAGTGGGGAGTGGGGAGGGTGGCCAACAAGCTAGAACTGTGAACTGTCTTGGAAGGTGTTATCCTAGGACGGTTACATAGCTTTGGTTATTTGATCTTGTCAAGCCTTTTGAGCTGAGAGAGCGTGTTTTGATCAGTCAGGATTCAGACAGAAAGTCTCACACGTTTGGAAGAAAGCCCTCAGAAACAGTTGTTGGTTTCCGGCTGCTCACATCGCTGCTGAGGAGAATGCGTGAGCGGAGGCCTTGTCAAGGTGGGGGCACAGCCTCCTTTCTTGAAAAAACTCATTTTTATCATCTCATATTATGGAGTGGGATGGGCAGGACTAGACAGTCTGCTTTATTTAGAGATTTTAGATGACCTTCTGGGTCATCTTCCCAATCTGTCCTTGGGGAACTCATGCTAAACTCAGTGTCCTCAAGGAAACACTGGCTCCTGCTTGCAGTCTCCCCTTAGGTGGCCATGCCATCTCCGCCATTTTTTCTTCTCAGTAACCTCTACAGCCTTCACCACTGAAGGCAGATGCACAGGACCACAATAGACGTCTCACCTATAAAACGCATCAGGAGGGGATTCTTAAAATTTGGGATAGAACATGTAAAAATATCCAGAGAAATATAATTTATCTTTATGGTTTGCATAAACCTGAAGTCCTAAGATATATACAGGATATATACAAGGATATACAATTATGATATATAAAAGCTAAACTGTTCCTATTTTACTCTTTATAATGTTACGCTTCTTCTCCTGTGGTTATTTCTCATTAAGAAAAACCCCAACATATCTTAGGGACAGCCTTTTGGCATAGTGCCCATACCGTACAATTCAGGATTAGCCATAGATTTGATATTATATTTAGGCAGAATTGACCTCCTGCAAAAGCTGTAGGGAAAATTGATTTCAGCCTCCCCTAAACTGTCTTTATTATTTCCTTCAAGCTTATAGGATTTCCATCTTTTATCCACACTGCATAGTAACCAAACCTCTCTCTGCTGCTTCCTATTGAAACCTGTCTTATGTTCCCTTACTGCAAGGACCTGATAACTAGGCTACTGCTGAAGAAGATGGACTAAGGGGCCTGTCAAATGTGTGCTGCTAGATGGGAGTGGTGGCACACATCTGTAATCCCAGCACTTGGGAGGCTGAAGCTAGAGGCTCCCCATGGGTTTGAGGCCAACATGGGCTACATGAGCAAGTACAAGGCCAACTTGTACTACATAGCAAGACCCTATCTCAAAAAACAAACAAACAAAGAAATAAACAAACAAAAATGTGTGCCCCTAGGAGAATGTTAGGCCATCACTTCTCTAAATTTCTTTTCAGGTTGCTTTGGCTTCTTAAATTTTTCCCCCTTTGACTCAGGCCACATGTGTAAGTGCTCCATTTTATTGTAATTAGATAAAACCCGTTTGCTTGTTTTTTCCAGGTGATCTCAATCTTTTGATCTGGTCCAAGCATCTACATGCTGAGCTCTGCTAAAGTTGGGGTTCATCTTCCTAGGTCTCATCTTGGATGAATATCTCCCACACTTAGGAATCCTATTAGGTGAAAGTCATCTCCATTCATACTTCATAAATTTTAGTCCTAGTCACAGTGCAAGCTCCATTAGTAACAAAAATCTTAAACAGTGATCTTCAAACTTCTTTATTGATTACCCCTTTGGCTTAAAAAATCAGCATGTAGTGCTTGCTTTGGCAGCACATATGCTAAAAATTGGAGAGATACAGAGAAGATTAGCATGGCCCCTGAGCAAGGATGACATGCAAATTCGCGACGCGTTCCATATTTTTAAAAACTGGCCTTCTGTATGCTGAAGACTAAAACTAGACCCATGTCTATCACCATGCACTAAACTAAAGTCAAAATGGATCAAAGATCTCAATATTAAAACAGAAACACTAAATCTACTGGAAGAGAAAGTTGGTAGAAATCTTGAAGACATAGGGGTAGGCAGAGAGTTCATGAAGAAAAACCAAACTGAGGGCTGGGGATTTAGCCTAGTGGTGCAACACCTGCCTGGCAAACATGAGGTCCTGAGTGCAATTCTCAGTACCCAAAACAAACCAACAAAAAACAACAAA